CATTTGATTGTGATGTCATGGTAACCAATGACATCACAATTGTCTGCAAAGCATTGTGATGCAATTTCATTTAAGGATTGACTGTGTATTTTCTTCGGTTCATTGAGGTATGAATCGAAAAGCCAGACAAAAATGACGAGATTGATAAAGATTCTAGGTGTAGGAATAGTCATACTGTGGCGTGACATGAATCAGGTGATCATTTAATTTATGCACATAACTTGACACGCCTACACAGTAAGTAGCCAATCAACGGAGAGTAGGATCAAAACAATGTTCATTGGACCTGTCAATTAAGGCAAAAGGCAAAAAGAACTGCAACAGTCAGACTGTAATGAACCGGAAGAAATTTGTCCAGGAGAAGGCGTCTGTTTCAAATAACATGGTCAGTTACCACCAGATTCAAACATTACTTCCCTGATTACGGTAAAACACAGTAGAAAAAATGCTATTCAGAAATGAAACCCGAAGACATGAAAGTTGAACCGAGGCGAGCGGGAAGAAACAGGCGAGCGAGCCTGCACGTTTGCTGTTTCATACATTCTCGGCCTTCGGTTTCAAAGGGTAGTTTGGACAATGAATATGCATGAAAGTTGCTAAATGTCCTGTGCATGACGATACACGTGAGTAGAAAGGGAATTCCCTTGACTGTAATATTGGGATTCCCCGACATTCTGCAGTAATATAAAAGTAGTGTGCCTCGGTGGGCTCGGCTTTACTTTTTACATTCATTGGGAAATGAATGCAATAACATGTGACCAATTCAGCTAATCAGAATACAGGAATTTCAATGAACACAACAAAAATTTAATTATTTCAGTGTAGATATCGCTTGATCTCACCCAAGCCATATCTCCTGTGAGAGCAAGTTTTGGATGATAAATTTCAGTTGCATCATTTCTTTTGGACAGCTTCATATTTGAAGAAAAGACTCAAAGATATTAGTTGTTTACCAGTTCCAGTTAAACACATGAGCATGTATGGTGCAGAAAGACCATTTATATCATAAACTGACCCTTAACTGGATTCAAACCAAGACCACAGAGCCTGGCAGACTTAGAGAGCGCTTCAAAATTTTGATGTCGGATAATAATCTGAAATAATTAAGTTTCGAGGTGGGAGGTTAAAACAATCACTACATGGCCTAAAGGCCTGTGGACCATGCAAGCATAATTACGGGGGCATGCAAAATGTGACCCATGACAGGATTCTGGTCCCTGGATGAGGTTACACAAATGAGGTTAATGCTAAATGAGGTATGATTACAGCATGGCTATGCTGGGAGTAAGCTCCCCCATGACCTGGGATAATTAGCCCGTCTTGTACGATGGAATGTACTCTCGCTAATTGGTAGAGACGTGACTTCACATACACCTGTAGACATGGTAGATACAGGTGTCTGCGCAACCTTAAGTGGCGTCTACTCTACTGACAGTATAATCTTGTTACTAACAGAGAAACATTTGAGGAAGGTTATTACCATGTGATAAAAATAATTAGCTTGAGAAAATACTTTAAAAACTAATTTTGCCTTAGATTTTACAAGAATTACATGTTCACTGGATATCCTGAAAGAAACTGTGTTGTGGGTCCTTAAGAAATTGTCAAAAATAAATGTTAAATACTCTGTGCCTAATTCGTAAATTTTCTGAACATCAAAATTAAAAATAACAATACTCATGATATCAATCACTGGATTATTTACAGACCAAGGTCATATAGCTTGAATATTGCTGAGCGCGCGTTAAACAACCAACCAACCAAAAATAACAATAATATAGTACAGACATGACACACAATAAAGTGTTACCACATGAATCTACAATATATCCTCAAGTCAACTGTGAGTACTGGCAAATGGAACTGACAAATGAGTGAGTGAGTTGTATTTTACGCCGCTTTTAGCAATATTCCAGCAATATCACGGCAGGGACATCAGAAATGGGCTTCACACATTGTACCTATGTTGGGAATCAAACCTGGGTCTTCAGCATGACGAAATGGGCTACCCAGCCCCCCTGACACATCTGATGGCAATCAGTCAAGTCAAGTAGTTGAGTAGCCTAAGGGTTAAAGTGTTTGCTGGTTATACTGGAGAGTGTTCAGTCTACACCTGGACTCACTCACTCACTCACTCACTCACTCACTCACTCACTCACTCACTCACTCACTCACTCACTCACTCACTCACTCACTCACTCACTCCCTCCCTCCCTCCCTCCCTCCCTCCCTCCCTCGTCAAGTGTCTGAAGTAGGTTTTAGCTACCTTCTAAAGTTTAGGTTCAAATAAAATATATTTACCGGTAGGTGGCATTACAAAAATGTAGTTGTGACATATGATGGTAAATCATTCCAAACAGCTGATGTGTTCTTTCTGAAATCATTATAATTTCCAATTGTCAAAACACGATGACCAAAATTCTTGTCCAGAACTGCCTTAGTATGACAACAAACAAGCAGATGAACTAGCAGTATAGGTCAACAGGGTTTGTTATTCATGTGTGTTTGTTTGTTTGTTTATTGCCACACTCAGCAATATTCCAGGTATATGACGGCGATCTGTATATACATGTACTTAAATCAGGACCAGATAATCTAGTGATTGACATCATGAGTGTCGATCTGCACAACTGGGATATGATGACATGCATCAACCAAGTCAGCAAGCCTGACCACCTGGTCACGTTAGTAGCCTCTTACGACAAGCATAGTCGCCTTTTACGGCAAGCATGGGTTGCTAAAGGCCAAATCTAACCCAGATCTTCATGGGGGCAAGCATGGATTGCTGAAGACTAAATTTAAGCAATCTTCATGGGGTATCAAGTCATGATTAAACATCATTTATAAACCTACTGGCTGTTTGTGTAACTCGATATGGAGTTTTTTAAATTGTGGTAACACCTCGTAGGAGGTATTACAACGATTGTAACACCTCGCAGGAGGTATTACAACGATTGTAACACCTCGCAGGAGGGCTTACAACGATTGTAACACCTCGCAGGAGGGCTTACAACGATTGTAACACCTCGCAGGAGGGCTTACAACAATTGTAACACCTCGCAGGAGGGCTTACAATCATTATAACTTCCGTTCAGATTGTAACATGTAATGAAATGTTAAATCAAATGACAAATGTTTTCTTTAATATTCCCGAGGATCGAACTCACAACCTTCATATCTGTAGCCCAGTGAGTGTACCACGAGGCTACAGAGGTGTTGATAAGCAGCACTGCTTTTTAGAATGTCCTTTTCAAGATCCGTACGCCAGCAACAGGTTGTACAATGAATGAGCGTCAGTCAAAGCAAAACGTGTAATAGTCTCAGCCTATGAGACGCACGTGCAGATTTCGTGCCATTGCGAGACGCACGTGCAGATTTTGCACTGTTGTGAAACCCACGTGCTGAGGTCACCGGTTTCATTGAACCTAGTTCACGACTACAGGCGATATTTCATCGCCGATACAGGTTAAACATTTGAGAGTTTTTATTACAGTTATATAATTAAAAACGTTGTCTATGCGATGAGTCGGTTTATAAGTTGGACAAACCATGTCTCCTCTAGATTACTAGAGATTGTAAACCCTACGGCCCCCTCGGGACGTTCCCTCATGTGAGGGTTTACAATCTCTAGTAATCCCTTGGAGACATGGTTTCCCCTACACATATTCCTTGAATAGCAGTTATTTCATCTGTAACTCCGTAGAACACTTCCCTAAAGCAGCTAAATGACTAGATGCTGATGCTAGATAGATGTTAAGCCGTGTCAATACATAACCCTGCAGTGTCACAGTGAGTTAAACATGTGGTGTTGTAGGACTTGTCAAGTAGCAACAATTTCACGTCTTAATCAATGAACTAAGTGAAGGAGCCAGCCTCTTCAGTTTCCTTTCGGCCGCTTACATACACTTGTAGGACTCCTTCAACATAACTCAGCTTGCCATCAACCTTTGAAACATATTTTCAGGTTTGCACACAGAATACTTTCATATCAAAACAGTTATATTGTCATATTTCTTGGTATTCAATATACACATAAGCCAATAGATTCTTTCCGACATTTCTTTCCAAATTTAGAAATTTGAGATCTAAGTCCATTATTATATAAGATTCAGAAATACCTGATATGAACAGCATCTATTTCTGACTCTTAAACACTTGCGTTAGACACACTGCCTGCTTAGAAACTGATTAAGAGAGCAACATTTGATTTTCAAGGCAAGGAGAATTTTGGTTTGAGGTAAGATTCTTATATTTGTATGTTTAGCAGTAAATTTATTTTTCAACATTAACAGGTGCTTGTAATTACTAGTTTAAATACATTAAAAATAGCAAGCTGTATTGTTTGGACACTCTGCAAAACAAGTGCACACTATGTTTTACCTACACCACAAGCCACATGGAGGGACTTTTTTTTGTAAAACAGCGGCTTGATTATTTTTTTACAAAGAATCCTGCCAATGATTGCTCTCTAACATGGATTGAAATATCCTTTTGAAAAAGCAATACAATAACTTTTAAAATCAACCTGCATCTTGCAAATATTTGGACATGCAATCCATGGCGTCACCTTGTCAATAGGTGACATCAACTGGGATCTTTAGTGGAGAACACACCATTGAACAAACAATAAACCTCTCTTTGGCACTTTGGAAACTGTAGTATCAATGAGGACAGGGATGCTAGTACCATTACAAAGCAAGTGATCAACAACTGGGTAGAACTAGCATGTGTGCCGACATGTTGCAATGAAAGAATAAAAAAAGTTCATATCCAGAAATGACAATATTCAGACATCTTAACAGTTTTGTTGGACACAAGACATATAAATGTATGTTGACTTGAAAATTATCCCCAAAATAAAAATAATAAACAATATTTCTGAACATGTGTAACCTATTAAATAGCTTTTTCCCTACAACATGCCTCCCGATAATTGTAGAAACACAAGTGAGTTAATCACAACCATGTGCTCCACCTGATGCCGCAAGCTAAACACTTACCCCTGGAGAGGTGGAGGGCTGATGCCGCCAGGAGAACACCAAGCAGTAGTGAGTGTCGAGTGTGTCCCTCCATGTCTGTACACACCGGAGAATCAGGTACTATTGTAGGAAATCACAGGGAAGGAGAGAGTCGCCTCTCAGTAACAGTCAATGACAGGCCGACACTTCCACGGTCTCAGTTCTGTAGCTCCGTCCCCGTCAGTGGTACAACACTCTCTATAGTGTAACAGTCTCCACAATATGGCACAGTCTATGTACTGTCGTCTCCAGTGTGGCACAGTCTGAATAGTGTGCAGTCTCCACAGTGTTGTACGGTATGGATGGTAGAGGTGTCTCAAGGTGCAGCTGTCTTGACGGTAAACCTGTCAATGGTACAGTTGTCACGATGGTATAGCTGTCTTCATAGCTGCCTTAATGGTATAGCTGTCTCGATGGTATAGCTACGTCAATGGTATAGCTGTCTTGGTGGTATAGCGATCTTTATATCGGTCTTAATGGTATAGCTGTCTTGACAGCTCTGTCAATGGTATAGCTGTCTCAATGGTACAGCTATGTCAGTAGTATAGTTGTGTCAAAGGTATAGCTGTCTGCACAGACTGACAGAGCGAAGTTCACAGACTGAATGGTAGGGGGTGTTGTGTGAACAGTCTTGTACAGTGTATGTCACCGGCTGAATGGTAGGGGAACAGTCAATGGCAGGTATGCAGCTGATAGATCCTGTCACACTGAAGACAATGGCAGGCTGAATGGGATGGTGCTTGTGATGCAGATCGGCCTGTGCTGGAGTAGTGCTGTTCCTTTCACTGCATTGTCCTGCCTGAGTAGTGATCACAGATGCCAGGCTGCTGTAAAGGGAATGATTAATTTTAGTTATTTTAATTTAGTGAGATGGTTGACAAGAATAAAAGCCACTGTGGTTACAAAGATGAAGAAAACAAATTGAAAGACACACATAGATTATGACATCATGCAAACAAAGACTCTTCTCAGCATCAAATCTGAGAAAAAATACTTAACAACTTGGTTACTTTTGGGATCTGACAATAAAAGCATGGCAATACAGGTAAATAAAAGTATAATAAATAAATTGATGTATCAAAGTAACTGATCATAATCACAATGGTATCAAAGTTACAAGTTGTGGTTGTCCTGATATCAAAGTTACAAGTTGTGGTTGTCCTGATATCAAAGTATCGGTTTATGATCACACTGGCAACAAAGTGACAGTCCATGATCAAAACCATATCAAAGTAAAATTTCTTGATCAAACTGAAGTCAAAGTAACAGATCATGATCAAACTGAAGTCAAAGTAACAGTTCATGATCAAACTGAAATCATTGTAACAGTCCATGATCAAACTAATGTCAAAGTGACAGTTCATGATCAGCTGGATATCATTGTAACAGTTCATGATCAGCTGGATATCATTGTAACTGTTCATGATCAGCTGGATATAATTGTAACAGTTCATGATCAGCTGGATATCATTGTAACAGTTCATGATCAGCCGGATATCATTGTAACAGTTCATGATCAGCTGGATATCATTGTAACAGTTCATGATCAGCTGGATATCATTGTAACAGTCCATGATCAGTTGGATATCATTGTAACAGTTCATGATCAGCTGGATATCATTGTAACAGTTCATGATCAGCTGGATATCATTGTAACAGTTCATGATCAGCTGGATATCATTGTAACAGTTCATGATCAGCTGGATATCATTGTAACAGTTCATGATCAGCTGGATATCATTGTAACAGTTCATGATCAGCTGGATATCATTGTAACAGTTCATGATCAGCCGGATATCATTGTAACAGTTCATGATCAGCTGGATATCATTGTAACAGTTCATGATCAGCTGGATATCAAAGTAGTGAGTGTGTTGGAATCTAACACAGCTTTTAACATTACTCCAGTTATATCACAGCGTATCAGTTTAATGCGGGAGAGAAATCTGAAGTGATGCAGGACATTTACTACTTTGGTGAAACACACAAGCACGGATATAGTGGTGACAAACCTACAAACATAATCTGGGTAAACCCGGGAATTGAACCCACAATCACAGGTCTCTGGCATGCCCAAGGGCACAACTCTACACAGCAAATTGCAGCACCTTAGACAACTGTGCCTCCTGTGCCCCCTGACCTCAAAGTAACTGAAGTCAAAGTAACAGTTCATGATCAAACTGAAGTCAAAGTAACAGTTCATGATCAAACTGAAGTCAAATTAACAGTCCATGATCAAACTGAAGTCAAAGTTACAGTTCATGATCAAACTGAAGTCAAAGTAAGAGTTCATGATCAAATTGAAGTCAAAGTAACAGTCCATGATCAAACTGAAGTCAAAGTAACAGTTAATGATCAAATTGAAGTCAAAGTAACAGTCCATGATCAAACTGAAGTCAAAGTAACAGTTACAGATCAAATTGAAGTCAAATTAACAGTTCATGATCAAACTGAAGTCAAAGTAACAGTTCATGATCAAACTGAAGTCAAAGTCACAGTTAATGATCAAATTGAAGTCAAAGTAACAGTCCATGATCAAACTGAAGTCAAAGTCACAGTTAATGATCAAATTGAAGTCAAAGTTACAATCCATGATCAAACTGAAGTCAAAGTAACAGTCCATGATCAAATTGAAGTCAATGTAACAGTTCATGATCAAATTGAAGTCAAAGTCACAGTTAATGATCAAACTGAAGTCAAAGTAACAGTTAATGATGAAATTGAAGTCAAAGTTACAATCAATGATCAGACTGAAGTCAAAGTAACAGTTCATGATCAAACTGAAGTCAAAGTAACAGAACATGATCAAACTGAAGTCAAAGTAACAGTTCATGATCAAACTGAAGTCAAAGAAACAGTCCATGATCAAACTGAAGTCAAAGTAACAGTTCATGATCAAATTGAAGTCAAAGTAACAGTTCATGATCAAACTGAAGTCAAAGTAACAGTCCATGATCAAATTGAAGTCAATGTAACAGTTCATGATCAAATTGAAGTCAATGTCACAGTTCATGATCAAACTGAAGTCAAACTAACAGTTCATGATCAAATTGAAGTCAAAGTAACAGTTCATGATCAAACTGAAGTCAAATTAACAGTCCATGGTCAAATTGAAGTCAAAGTAACAGTTCATGATCAAATTGAAGTCAAAGTAACAGTCCATGATCAAACTGAAGTCAAAGTAACAGTTCATGATCAAACTGAAGTCAAATTAACAGTCCATGGTCAAACTGAAGTCAAAGTAACAGTCCATGATCAAACTGAAGTCAAAGTAACAGTTAATGATCAAATTGAAGTCAAAGTTACAATCAATGACCAGACTGAAGTCAAAGTAACAGTTTATGATCAAACTGAAGTCAAAGAAACAGTTCATGATCAAACTGAAGTCAAAGTAACAGTTCATGATCAAACTGAAGTCAAAGAAACAGTCCATGATCAAACTGAAGTCAAAGTAACAGTTCATGATCAAACTGAAGTCAAAGTAACAGTTAATGATCAAACTGAAGTCAAAGTAACAGTCCATGATCAAATTGAGTGAGTGAGTGAGTGAGTATGGTTTTACGCCGCTTTTAGCAATATTCCAGCAATATCACGGCGGGGGACACCAGAAATGGGCTTCACACATTGTACCCATGTCGGGAATCGAACCCGGGTCTTTGGCGTGACGAGCGAACGCTTTAACCACTAGGCTACCCGACCGCCCCTGATCAAATTGAAGTCAATGTAACAGTTCATGATCAAATTGAAGTTAATGTCATAGTTCATGATCAAACTGAAGTCAAAGTAACAGTTCATGGTCAAATTGAAGTCAATGTAACAGTTCATGATCAAATTGAAGTCAATATAACAGTTCATGATCAAACTGAAGTCAAAGTAACAGTTCATGATCAAAGTGAAGTCAAAGTAACAGTTCATGATCAAACTGAAGTCAAATCAACAGTCCATGATCAAATTGAAGTCAAAGTAACAGTTCATGATCAAACTGAAGTCAAAGTAAAAGTCCATGATCAAACTGAAGTCAAAGTAACAGTTCATGATCAAATTGAAGTCAAAGTACCAATTAATGATCAAATTGAAGTCAAAGTAAAAGTTCATGATGAAATTAAAGTCAAAGTAACAGTCCATGATCAAACTGAAGTCAAAGTAACAGTTCATGATCAAATTGAAGTCAAAGTAAAAGTTCATGATGAAATTAAAGTCAAAGTAACAGTTCAGGATCAACTGGATATCAAAGAAACAGTTCATGATCAAAATTATATTAAAGTAGCAGTAACATGATCAACAAGGTGTAAAAATAACAGTTCATGATTGAGTGGTCAGGCTTGCTGACTTGTTTTATGCATATCATCGTATCCCAATTGCGGGGATCGATACTCATGATGTCAATTACTGGATTGTCTGTTCCAGACTTGATTATTTACAGACTGCCGTTACATAGCTGGAATATTGCTGAGTGGCGTTAAACAACAAACAAACAAACAAAACTCCAGCCGACATAGCCTACAGTGGAAGTACAGTCCTGGTGAATGCATAAATAATAAAATATCATTTGATGTACAACAGAAAGGAGCCAAGAGATTCTCTTCATTTTCTTAAACTAAAGAAATCTAGACTTGTCCAAAGTCTTGCTAGGGAATTTCAGAATTTCAGATATTGTTTTCAGGGGTATAAGAGGCAAAAGACACTGCATGGCATGGTACAATGTGTGAAGCCTATCCTGAGTGTCCCTGACACAATATTCAGTTAATACTGTTAACAGTGACACAATGTTCAAGGAATACTGTCAATAGTAACTCAATGTTTAAGGAATACTGTCAATAGTAACTCAATGTTTAAGGAATACTGTTGACCATGACACAATGTTCAAGGAATACTGTCAATAGTAACTCAGTGTTTAAGGAATACTGTTGACCATGACACAATGTTCAAGGAATACTGTCAATAGTAACTCAATGTTTAAGGAATACTGTCAATAGTAACTCAATGTTAAAGGAATAATATCAATAGTTACACAATGTTCATAAAATACTATCAATAGTAATACACTGTTCAAGGATTACTATCAATAGTAACACACTGTTCAAGGAATACTATCAATAGTAACACACTGTTCAAGGAATACTATCAATAGTAACACAATGTTCAAGGGATACTGTCAATAGTAACACAATGTTCAAGGAAATACTGTCAATAGTAACACAATGTTCAAGGAATACTATCAATAGTAACACACTGTTCAAGGAACACTATCAATAGTAACTCAATGTTCAAGGAATACTGTCACTAGTAACACAATGTTCTTTGTGTGTGTGTGTGTGTGTGTGCGTGCGTGCGTGCGTGCGTGTGTGCGTGTGTGTGTGTATATATGTAGTGTGGTTTATAGAGCCCCACTTCAATATAGGTAGACATAAGCCACCTCAGATGCCTGGTGTGTGTTCTCTCCTGCCAGATTGAGTGTGTAGTTAATGGGTCAACAAATTGAACATGAACTCACTACGCCATTAACACAATTAGCTGGGGGTAGGGTTGCTAACCTCTATCCCTCTCACTGATTAGGCCCAGTAAGTGTTACACACTCAGGATTGAGTTGGTTCTTTCATGAAGCAGGCCACTTAAAGAACCAGCACACTTTCGTGCCAGGATTCTTGATTAAAGAAAACATAAAATCCCATGTACTTTACACCAAATACTATCTGGGACTTTGATAACTTGTTTGAATACTTACACTTGTTATCATTAAACTATTCAGTACAAATTGAATTGGGTTATGTAAGTATGGTATCACAATGAAGGTGAGGTGAAATGAGATTTAACATTATGTTTATGATAACATAGCGACATGCATGCATGTGTGCGTAGCTGCTTGTACGAGTCCAGATTAAGGCTGGTTGAGTGCTAGCTAGCCCACTGAGACACGTACCATGCCTCAGTTTAGCATGGAGTGAGTGAGTGAGTATGGTTTTATGCTGCTTTTAGCAATATTCCAGCAATATCACAGCAGGGGGACACCAGAAATATGTTTCACACATCCCATGTGGGGAATCGAACCCGGGTCTTTGGCGTGACGAGCGAATGCTGTAACCACTAGACTACCCCATCGGCCTTTAACATGGACACCCCACTCAGACGCAGTCTACTGACTCCGAGCCGACCAGTCCCCTTCATGCCCAGTGCCAGACAGGGTAACAACACATACCATCTTGCAACATCTTTTGGCATGACCTGGCCTGAGATCGATCCACAAACCTTTCATTCTGCAGGCAGATTTTCTATCCATAAGACCACAGAGGTAGTTCAATATAATTTTAAGTATCATGGTACCAATTAGATTTTTTCAAATTACTGTAAACTATGGTAAATATGAACTGAAAGGGACGACTAATTTTAGTTTGTTATAACTCACTCATTCCTCATTCAAGTCATCACAATTTATAGAAAAAACAGTTTGATATATCCATCAGATCGTTATAAGCATGTTCGTTTTTAACATAGTTTACTGTATTGAAATGCACCAGTACTCATTGCAGCCCTAGTAAGGCCTGCAAGTACCTGTAAGTCATATTTCAAAACCAAGGGGTTTCAGAGCTATCCATTGTTTACTGCTATAGTATTTGAATCCAGAGATACACTTAAATGATATTTTTTATCATCATGGTAATGACTTCTTGACTTTCATTCTTGACTTATCATTCTAACGGATACATATGATACATCCAAGATTCTGAAACGCATAAAGAAAGACACACGATAGCTTCCTGAAACAGTTAATTACGTCATAACAAGAACTGAAGAGTTGAGAAATATGAATGAAATGTCTACTCACCTATATCCTGGTCTAGTCCTGTGATAATCAAATAATGACGTTAGGATTGGTACTTATTCCATGAAGGTTCTGACAACCTTTGAATGTTTGTGTGTATTACGACTTGAAGCTACCGTATATCTTCCAACTTTGGTGCCATGTTAGATCCAGGTTAGAGCTGGTCTTCAGCAACCCATGCTTGCTGTAACAGGTAACAGGCTCGTAAGAGGCGACTAATGGGATCGGGTGGTCAGACCCGTATACTTGGTTGATACATGTCATCGTATCCCAAATGTTTGAATTGATACTCTATATATCAAACACTGGATCACTGAGGGCAGCTTTAAACATCAACAAACAAATATAACAACCATCTTAGCACTAAGATCACTTTGTGGAAGGAGGCCCTATTTAACTTTACTCAGCTCGTCTAACAAGGTCCACTAGACACAGGACTGACCAGTACTCTCACATGTCAACAGAATTGACGGCCTGGTTATCAGAAAAACCAACATACTCAGAAGCTGATTAATGGGTAACCGAGTATCCCTGGTCACTGATCTTACACAGTTCTTCCATTAATGCTGAATAGGTGAGGTGAAATGGGGTTTAACGTCACCTCTAAGATTATTGCACTTATATAGCGATGTGCATGCATGTGTGTGGCTGATTGTACTAGTCCGGACTGATGCCAATTATAAGTGCTACCCCACTGAGATACCAAGCCGTAGTTTAACATGAATACCCCACTCAGACACAGTATACTGACTCCAAGCCGACCAGGCCTTGTTTGAGCCCCTTAATGCAGAGCACCAGACTGGGTAACAACAAGTACCATCTTTTAACGTCTTTTGGTATGAAGTGGGTGGGGATCAAATCCCCAACCTTCCGCTCTCCAGACGGGGGGGATATAAACCTATGATAATAATAATAGTAATATTATAAGTCCATGAATGTTTTCCCATGCAATCCCTTTATAAGAAATGATATCTTAAACATCTGCAACTGTAGCATGTCAGAAGATGAAGTATCATAGTTTTATCATCCCAAACTGGTTCCCACAGGAGGTAGATATCGCTGGAATGAAATTGCAACACAATGCCCTGCAGATCATTGAGATGTCATTGGTTACCATGACATCACAATCAAATGACATCACTAATTGCTCTGCTACTGAAGCTGTTAGCAGTACTTTTTTTACGCTTAAGACACTGCTTATTACTGTCTACAAACTGAAAAAGTTAGGAGAATGATGTCAGATGATAAATAAAACCTCACCCTCGTGTCTTTTCATATGAAATATATCAACAATCGTTGATAAAAGTGGAAAAACTCCTCGGCAAACCTTAGAGGTTTTCCACTTTTATCAACTCATGTTGATACATTTGATATCAAAAACACTTGGGTAAGATTCTCTATGTATCAAGAGTGTCAAGTTGTACTGATTCTTTGTTTCAGGAATCAAATATGTGATGCTAGGCTTGATACCAAAGATAGTCAATCTGATAAATTAGTAAATGAAAATGTTTACCAAACCTGAAGTGAGTATTTTCAATGCAGGGAGATGTCAGTACAAGAATCACACACAGACAGCAATGATTTAGTCTATTTTGAACAGTGTTGAAGCTGAGCTAGAATCGGAAGGGAAGGCAGAAGTGATGCAGGTCTTATGCCCCTGAAACCCTTGTGCACTGGTGTGGTGCGGACAAACCAAGAAACTTAATCAAGGTGAATCTAGGATTCGAACCAATGATCAGTTACTGGAACATCCAAGGGACATAACTCTGTACAGCCATGTGTACATCTTGGCCATCCGTTCCCCCAGGAATTACACACAGGTTCAACTTTGGTCACTCTGTTATAAGATGAAGGGAGGCAAAATGGTGTGAGTGCATATGTGTCTGCTTGTACTAGTGACTACTAGTCCACACCATCCTTATGAAGTTATCATGCTTGTCACTTAAAAATCAAACCTTGATTTTCATCTATATTTCTTTTCATCGAACACATTCTTGTTATATCTTCAGAAGACTTACATATTTTAGAAATTCATAATCTAGATATTCTACAACGTGCAGAAATACAATTATTGGAAACAGAAAAGCATATCATTCCCAATGTAAACCTAATCTTACATTTTAAATTTTTAAACTTTATTACACTGAGGTATTTATAAGTAGACTGCCAAAATCAAAATAACAAATTTATTTTTTCTGATATTTGTCACTACTGGTGAATAAACACTTCAAATCATCAACCATTTCACACACACCAATCTCTATTCCAAATTAAGGGGCAGTGGGGTAGTCTAGTGGTTTGAGCGTTCTCTCATCACACTGAAGGCTCGGGTTCAATTCCCGACATGGTTACAATGTTTGAAACCCTTTTCTGGTGTTCCCAACCGTGATATTGCTAAAATATTGCTAAAAGCTGTGTAAAACCGTTCTCACTCACTCACTCAAATTAGAATTACCCAATACAATTCAGGTGTCCCCCACTGTGATATTGTTGGAATATTGCTAAAAGCAGTGTAAAACCATTCTCACTCACTCACTCACTCACTCACTCACTCAAATTAGACTTATCTAATATGTTCTGGTGTCCCCCACCGTGATATTGTTGGAATATTGCTAAAAGCTGTTTAAAACTGTTCTCACTCACTCACTCACTCAAATTAGACTCATCTAATATGTTCTGGTGTCCCCTACCATGATATTGTTGGAATATTGCTAAAAGCTGTTTAAAACCGTTCTCACTCACTCACTCACTCAAATTAGACTTATCTAATATGTTCTGGTGTCCCCCACCGTGATATTGTTGGAATATTGCTAAAAGCTGTTCTCACTCACTCACTCACTCAAATTAGACTTACCTAATATGTTCTGGTGTCCCCCACCGTGATATTGTTGGAATATTGCTAAAAGCTGTTTAAAACTGTTCTCACTCACTCACTCACTCAAATTAGACTTACCTAATATGTTCTGGTGTCCCCCACCGTGATATTGTTGGAATATTGCTAAAAGCTGTTTAAAACTGTTCTCACTCACTCACTCACTCACTCACTCACTCAGTCAAATTAGAATTATGTAATACAATTCCCCTGATCCCAGACTGCAACATTCCTCCAACAGAGCACATATCATATATACATACCAATCTCCAATCAGAATCACCCAATACAATTCAATGTCCTATGAAAGCATCATTCATCCCACACATTCCACTGGAGGATGTACGGTACCAATCTACCACCCTCCTATCAAATTACCATGTTGGTTCACATCCAGAATGGCTGAGACAAACACCCCCATGTTTGTTTGCTGTGTGCATCATGCCAATGTAACACACAGTGGGTTGTGTGTGATGCCAATCATTTCTCTGCTAAAACAATCAGCTGAAATTAACACATGTACATTGCTGCACAGCACGGTTAGGGCAACAGGGCTTCACAGCCACCTCCGACGTCGGTTTCATAATTACAGGGAGGATACACCTTTGTGTGTGATTGAAGTGCAACTGTAATGGTTCAAATCCTAAATAGTTGTTCAGGTAATATTTTTTGTCTCCAGCTATATCTAGGTCAGTGTGGTTAAGTGGGAAAGTTTTGTTATCTTTAAACAGGATGTTTATTTCATATAGGTTGTTTTGAAACGTCTTCATGATTAAGTGTAACGTATATATGATGTAAACACTTTTACTATTCCTTTTATCACATTCTTCCTGGGATGTAAAAATTCAAACAAAAAAACATAAAAAATCACCACCTACATCTCTGAACGAGTGAGCAGTGTTTGAGACTGCTTTCACCAATATTTCACCAATATACAACTATTATTCCAGCAATATTCCACAATTTTCCAGCAATATTACAGCAATATTACAGCAATATTCCACCAATATTCCATCAATATTCCACAAATATTCAACCATTATTCCACCAATATACCATCAATATTCCACAAATTTTCCATCAATATTCCCCAATTATCCAGCAATATTACATCAATATTACATCAATATGCAACAAATATTCAAGCATTATTCCCCCATTATTACAGCAATATTCCACCAATGGAACCTGGGTGTTTGACATGAGGAGCCAAAGCTCTAACCACTAGGCTACAACACATCTACTACATCTCTGAATCATCAAATGTTATAAATGCAAGTCAGTAATCAGGCATATGGAATGTTTGGTGCATCAAGACAATTTCACATTACTCCTCATTTGCGTACAACACAAGAACCAGGAATGTTATTTTCAAAAGAAAAATGTAATAAAATCTATTTTCAAATGTTTGTTTTTTTGTCCCTATAGACTTGCACAAATCTGGCAGTGATGGAAGGGCCTTATCTAGCGGGCCTTCCCTTACCATTTCATATAACACTGCTTTTTGATAGGCTTTCAAGAAAAATTGATTCAGCATGAAAGAAAACTGTCTGAAATGTTTTCAGTGTGAGTGAGTATGGTTTTACGCCGCTTTTAGCAATATTCCAGCAATATCACGGCGGGGGACACCAGAAATGGGCTTCACACATTGTACCCATGTCGGGAATCGAACCCGGGTCTTCGGCGTGACGAGCGAACGCTTTAACCACTAGGCTACCCGACCGCCCCGAAATGTTTTCAGAGGCAACCAGCTCTTAAAAGTGTCGTGGTGTACTTTCTCATTCTCGTTCTGCCAGAATCAGGTTGGATGAAAAATATGATTAAACATCATTTAAAATCTAGATTGATGAGTTTTAGTCAATCATATCACAATCATATTACAGGCTTGAACATGCAATACATTTAGATCACATAAAACACTGTCATCAAAGGACATTATAACAACCAGCATTATGTCACAGTTTTACATTTTAAACTAGTTGCAGAACACTAAAAGATATAACTATACAACAACAGCACAATATAAAAAATAGATCGGCCAGCACTTGAGCTCAAGGAATCTTCCGTGCCTTGACTCCAATGCCTTAACACAGACTTTCCAGTCTTGGCACTTATACCGTTGGTGGGGCAGGGTTTGGGACTAGTCATAACCATGTGAATACTTTCCTTGTAGGGATGGGACAGACAGCTCAGGTACTTGGGTCGTGTGGGTACTGAGTAGGACCCGGGTACCCACAGGACAACCCACCCAGGTTAGTCATGTGAGATATTGTTTAATGACAAAAAGAATCTAGAACTCTATGGTTACACTATAAGTGACTAAAGTTCACATTTCTTTCTGACTGTGCACACATTCCTTCTGACTTTATATGTTTGAAGAAAGATAAAACTTCAGTAAACTTCAGTGTATGCATGACCAGTATCTAAATAAGTACCGGGGTATTAAATTTGGATTCGTCCCAGCCCTATTTCGAGTTAAATATTAAATTTTACTCCCCCATTAGCTGTAACCATGTATGGAAAACATTCACATTCATGACTGAGATTCACTGTTGTTTTGGTAGACACAATTGATTATTTGATATTACTGCAATCTCAATAGATATTCAGCACAGCCTAAAGGAATCTGAAGGCATCCAAAAATAATTTTTAATTTTGGTATTTCATGATTCACATCCAGTGCCGTAGACACTACCAAAATGCTTTCCAGATAGACACTCTATTACACCACGGAGGGGGTCCACAGCGTTTGCTGTTTGTTTGTTTGTTTGTTTGTTGTTTAACGCCACACAGAGCAATATTCCAGCTATATGACGGCAGTCTGAAAGTAAACGAGTCTGGACCAGACAATCCAGTGATCAATAATGTGAGCAATGTTCAACACCATCGAGGTCTGACAGCCAGATCCATTGGATCCCCTCTGATGACCGTTGTCGGGGTCCTACTCTACCCCAGACTCCCTACGGAGGGCTTGGGCTCGAGTCATGAGGTTTAACAGTAATATATAAATAGGAGATTATTAACAAAATCAATCAGTGATTCATCATTTAATTCCTCGTCAATATACACAGGTCATACGGAAGTATATACATACAATATCACAATCACCGTTCATAAAGACACAGTGGGTAAACACAGATCAATCAAACAAGTTTGATATTATTCATCTAAAAACTCTTTATATCATCACACTTCATTCTGAGGTAACACAAGATTACAGAATCATTTCATTCTAGGTGAATTTCAGTGACATCTACTTACAATAAAAACTTAAGTTTTGAGAAAATGAAAAAATGGGACCATTTTTCTGAAAACAGAAATGACTACTTGTATCAAGTATCACCACTGAAAGAAAAGATTCAAACAAGAGTCACATAAAACGTAACAATTCTTAACAATTTCCTTGAGGCTTAAGAAAATAAAAGAATTGGTTCTCAGGCAATGTTTTTTTAAAGTATAGTTCGTGCAGGCGGGGTCTTTTTTTCAGTTGTTCAAATTAGTATGTAACCAAATAAACAATTGTGTACAATAATCCCAGGAAACGACCTCCCTACTTAAATGTATTCCTTGATGAGTAAAATACTGGAATACAGTATTTGACTACCATTTGGACTTGAAATACTTAAGGTTTTGGTTTTTTTAAAATGGAAATAAAAACAAAACGTGCGATGAATTTTATGATTATTCGGGCAGTGCCTGAGAACCAAGACCATTATTTTTTTAGCCTAAGACACATACTTAGAACTACGCCATCACTAAGAGCTTGTACCACCCAACATTATTTACACTATCTCATGATGGATACACTCTCTATTGACAATAATATTTGTGTAGCTTCCATGAGAAAAATCATCACCGGTTGAGGTAGTAAATTCCAACATGATTAAAATCACATTTTCTACTCCAATTTGATACCTCTCTGTGTCCAGAAGTAGACAGCATCCATATAAGGTGTGACCTCATTAATTAAACATATTGATGAAACTAATGGCCACATCAGAGTTTGTATTGGCACTATTGTCTGATAGTGACTTTATTTGTAATATGCCTCTGCTCGCCTTGCTGTGAGTGGGTACCCAGTAGGATGAGATTGTAATGTGACTGTTAACCTTCTATCACCTCACTGTTAACTTGGGTTGTAAGCTCCCCAGGGAGCTGAGAATGAAAATCGACTGCAAACTCATCCACTGACCAGGGTAATAATAATGTAGAGCCATGAGCCCTAGCAAACAGAAAGATCAAACTATTTTTTATGATCCTAAATAGATTATGTGTATCATAAATATAACAAAAACAAAGATAATATCAAAGTGCACATAAATAACAGGATGTATATATATGCAGTCTATTGAGGCTGAGTTTCATCATCTTCCCAAGGCAAGAGAGTTAACTGACTGAAAGTCCAGTTTCCACCCTTGCCGAACTAGGCTGGCATTATGGAGTTACAGTTTGGCTGGACAAACGAGTCTATGCATAGTCCAATCAAAATCCCGCACCGAAATCGAAATCCGGTTCATAAACTGTCGTGCAGATTTCAGTCGATTGCAGGATTTGCAAAGCATGTGCACCGCCAACACGTTGTCAGCAGATATTTACCAAATCTTTTCATGTTTTTAATCAAGGTGCTAACGTGATTTGATGCCTTTTGCAATGTAAGACCCGTTTTATCACAATATAGATCTTGATCATCGATCAGATCGTCCTGATCAGATCGTGCCACCATTTTGTGTGAAGCAAACGCAAGTGATACGAGAGGTGGAATCTGATTGGTCCATAGGAGAGGCTTAGAAGGGACATAACTGGTAATAACCACTGGTGGCGCTACTATCGAGCCGAGTAATTCCAACCTGGTTCGGCAAGGGTTGAAACTGGACTTTATAGTCAGTTAACTCCCTTGCCTCGGGAAGATGGATGTCGAAGGTTACAAAATGCCAAATGTTAAGTTAAATGAAATACAAGAAGTTTAATCTCTGAATGCATACAGAAACACTCAAAACTTGAAATCAGAAAAGATGTGTTTCTGTGCTTCAGCCCATCTCCAAACACATCTAATGATTAAGAATGCAGAAACAGGTCGGACAACTGCCAATTATCATAGCAGACTCTTTATTAAACATGTTAAAGTGTCACACACACTTGAACATATATATGCACAAATTTATGTACAAATCAAGTGTGTAGAGCCCCATGTTGGCTAATGAGAACTAAAAATCAGAATGTACAAGATAAGATGCATGAAAAGTGTGACTTTAAATAATATTTTACAAATTTTTAACAAGAAAAAAAGGAATATCATGGAATATGTGTCACCTCAGTTGCTGTCTTTTAAACATCTTAAAACAGGTGATGCTAAGATTTGTTTGTTTGTTTGTTTTTTTGTTTGTTGTTTAACGCTGCACTCAGCAATATTCCAGCTATATGACGGCGGTCTGTTAATAATCGAGTCTGGACCAGACAATCCAGTGATTGACATCATGAGCATTGATCCCCGCAATTGGGATACGATGACATGCATCAACAAAGTCAGTGATCCTATGATGCTAAGAGATTTTGAAGTGTACCATCATTCATAAGATATTAAAAATGATCTATCAATGGCCAAGTTTCTATACACCAACAACTAGGGGTCCCTTTGAGTGCTGCTTCAGTGATCCTGACCTTGAGCCTTGATAACTGGCCTTGAACTTTAACCTGTGTCAATATACATCAACACTCCCAAGAATGACGATATCAGTTTATTGTCTCACGGCAGAGAAAGCGAAATCTCACTGACAATAACATGATAAATTGAATATAATAAATCATTACACTACCAATATTTGGTAAGATCGCTGTCTTTGTGTGCTGGCGATTAGGTGCCTCACTCCGGCGGTGTGGGTTCAAATCCCGGACAGGACTCAACCCAAAAAAGTACGAGAATCTGTACTTTACTAAGAAAGTGTTATCCCAAATATAACATTTGTTACATTTGACCACTTTCTAAATGGCATTGTGTGTTCATAGCTTTCAGCCATGGGAGCCGTGCCAATTTACACTTGTTAGAGGGGTATACAAAGTACGTGATCTAGACAATCAGTTGTCGGACATTCATTTTGTGGAAGCCTCGGTGGCTGAGTGGGTTAGATTGCTGACTTTGTGTGCTGGCGATTAGGTGCCTCACTCTGGCGGTTTGGGTTTGAATCCTGGACGGGCCTGAACCCCCAAAAGTATGAGAATCTGTACTTTACTAAGAAAGTGTTATCCCAAACATAACATTTGTTACATTTGACCACCTTCTAAATGGCATTGTGTGTTCATAAGTTTGGGGAATATCTCCATTCCTCTCCCATTCCTCTCCCATTGCTGTGTCACAGAGATACATCACTGTGAGGTGACAATACTACAGTGTTGAGGCATCAGTTATTCTTGCGCTGCCATTGTATGTCTGTCAGTCATCAAGACAGGAGTTCATGAGACAGCCTCTTCCTCTTGGCTCTGTTTTCCTCTGGAAGTACAGAAGGTGACAATATAACACGCTTGAATATACATGTCAATATACAGAACAGGACCCACTTGCACAACACGATCTTAGTGCTAAGATGATCGTAACTCCCATAGGCTTACAATAGTCTTAGTGCTAAGATCGCTTTGTGCTAGTGGGCCCAGAAAAAGCTGCAGGGTACTGGGGACAAGCCTTCATATACCCTGTGGCCCTGACAAGGCTAGGGTCAACATGCTGTTGTCTTGTGCTGCTGTGCTGCTGTGCCACTGTGGCTTACCTGCTGACTTCCTGGAGCTGCTCCTCACGGTTCGGCTGTTGTTCAGCTCCTCCAGGTTGTCTGGGTAGACCACCTGGCTCCACACCTCGATTTCATCTGAAACACACACATCCTAACATCAGACCACCTGGCTCCACACCTCGATCTCATCTGAAACACACACACCCTACATAAGACCACCTGGCTCCACACCTCGATTTCATCTGAAACAGGCACACCCAAACATAAGATCACCTGGCTCCACACCTCGATTTCATCTGAAACAGGCACACCCAAACATAAGACCACCTGGCTCCACACCTCGATTTCATCTGTAACACACACATCCTACATAAGACAACCTGACTCCACACCTCGATTTCATCTGAAACACACACACCCTACATAAGACCACCTGGCTCCACACCTCGATTTCATCTGAAACACACACACCCAACATAAGATCACCTGGCTCCACACCTCGATTTCATCTGAAACAGGCACATCCTAACATAAGACCACTTGGCTCCACACCTCGATTTCATCTGAAACACACACATCCTAACATCAGACCACCTGGCTCCACACCTCGATTTCATCTGAAACACACACATCCTACATAAGACAACCTGGCTCCACACCTCGATTTCATCTGAAACACACACATCCTAACATAAGACAACCTGGCTCCACACCTCGATCTCATCTGAAACACACACACCCTACATAAGACCACCTGGCTCCACACCTCGATTTCATCTGAAACACACACATCCTACATAAGACCACCTGGCTCCACACCTCGATTTCATCTGAAACACACACACCCTAACATAACACCAACTGGCTCCACACCTCGATCTCATCTGAAACACACACACCCTACATAAGACAACCTGGCTCCACACCTCGATTTCATCTGAAACACACACATCCTAACATAAGACAACCTGGCTCCACACCTCGATTTCATCTGAAACACACACATCCTAACATCAGACCACCTGGCTCCACACCTCGATTTCATCTGAAACACACACATCCTAACATCAGATCACCTGGCTCCACACCTCGATTTCATCTGAAACACACACATCCTACATAAGACAACCTGGCTCCACACCTCGATTTCATCTGAAACACACACATCCTAACATAAGACAACCTGGCTCCACACCTCGATCTCATCTGAAACACACACACCCTACATAAGACCACCTGGCTCCACACCTCGATTTCATCTGAAACACACACATCCTACATAAGACCACCTGGCTCCACACCTCGATTTCATCTGAAACACACACACCCTAACATAACACCAACTGGCTCCACACCTCGATTTCATCTGAAACACACACATCCTACATAAGACCACCTGGCTCCACACCTCGATTTCATCTGAAACACACACATCCTAACATAAGACAACCTGGCTCCACACCTCGATCTCATCTGAAACACACACATCCTACATAAGACCACCTGGCTCCACACCTCGATTTCATCTGAAACACACACACCCTAACATAACACCAACTGGCTCCACACCTTGATCTCATCTGAAACACATACATCCTAACATAAGACCACCTGGCTCCACACCTCGATTTCATCTGAAACACACACATCCTAACATAAGACCACCTGGCTCCACACCTCGATCTCATCTGAAACACACACATCCTAACATCAGACCACCTGGCTCCACCTGGAACTGGTTCACTAGAGTGCTATACTAGACACACAAAGCTTCTTACCAGAGTCCTCCTCTGCAAGCAGTGGAACTGGTTTACTAGAGTGCTATACTAGACACACAAAGCTTCTTACCAAAGTCCTCCTCTGCAAGCAGTGGAACTGCTCTACTAGAGTGCTATACTAGACAAACAAAGCTTCTTACCAAAGTCCTCCTCTGCCAGCAGTGGAACTGGTCTACTAGAGTGCTATACTAGACAAACAAAGCTTCTTACCAAAGTCCTCCTCTGCAAGCAGTGGAACTGGTTTACTAGAGTGCTATACTAGACACAGAAAGCTTCTTACCAAAGTCCTCCTCTGCCAGCAGTGGAACTGCTCTACTAGAGTGCTATACTAGACAAACAAAGCTTCTTACCAAAGTCCTCCTCTGCAAGCAGTGGAACTGCTCTACTAGAGTGCTATACTAGACAAACAAAGCTTCTTACCAAAGTCCTCCTCTGCCAGCAGTGGAACTGGTCTACTAGAGTGCTATACTAGACAAACAAAGCTTCTTACCAAAGTCCTCCTCTGCAAGCAGTGGAACTGCTCTACTAGAGTGCTATACTAGACAAACAAAGCTTCTTACCAAAGTCCTCCTCTGCCAGCAGTGGAACTGGTTCACTAGAGTGCTATACTAGACACACAAAGCTTCTTACCAAAGTCCTCCTCTGCCAGCAGTGGAACTGGTTCACTAGAGTGCTATACTAGACACACAAGCTTCTTACCAAAGTCCTCCTCTGCCAGCAGTGGAACTGGTTCACTAGAGTTCTATACTAGACACACAAAGCTTCCTACCAAAGTCCTCCTCTGCAAGCAGTGGAACTGCTCTACTAAAGTGCTATACTAGACACACAAAGCTTCTTACCAAAGTCCTCCTCTGCCAGCAGTGGAACTGGTTCACTAGAGTGCTATACTAGACACACAAAGCTTCTTACCAAAGTCCTCCTCTGCCAGCAGTGGAACTGGTCTACGAGAGTGCTATACTGGACACACAAGCTTCTTACCAAAGTCCTCCTCTGCCAGCAGTGGAACTGGTCTACTAGAGTGCTATACTAGACACACAAGCTTCTTACCGAAATCCTCCTCTGCAAGCAGTGGAACTGCTCTACTAGAGTGCTATACTAGACACACAAAGCTTCTTACCAAAGTCCTCCTCTGCCAGCAGTGGAACTGGTTCACTAGAGTGCTATACTAGACACACAAAGCTTCCTACCGAAGTCCTCCTCTGCCAGCAGTGGAACTGGTCTACTAGAGTGCTATACTAGACACACAAGCTTCTTACCAAAATCCTCCTCTGCCAGCAGTGGAACTGGTTCACTAGAGTGCTATACTAGACACACAAAGCTTCCTACAGAAGTCCTCCTCTGCCAGCAGTGGAACTGGTCTACTAGAGTGCTATACTAGACACACAAACTTCTTACCGAAATCCTCCTCTGCCAGCAGTGGAACTGCTCTACTAGAGTGCTATACTAGACATACGAGCTTCTTACCAAAGTCCTCCTCTGCCAGCAGTGGAACTGGTCTACTAGAGTGCTATACTAGACACACAAAGCTTCCTACCAGAGTCCTCCTCTGCAAGCAGTGGGACTGGTTTACTAGAGTGCTATACTAGACACACAAAGCTTCTTACCAAAGTCCTCCTCTGCCAGCAGTGGAACTGGTCTACTAGAGTGCTATACTAGACAAACAAAGCTTCTTACCAAAGTCCTCCTCTGCCAGCAGTTGAACTGCTCTACTAGAGTGCTATACTAGACAAACAAAGCTTCTTACCAAAGTCCTCCTCTGCCAGCAGTGGAACTGGTTCACTAGAGTGCTATACTAGACACACAAAGCTTCCTACCGAAGTCCTCCTCTGCCAGCAGTGGAACTGGTTCACTAGAGTGCTATACTAGACACACAAGCTTCTTACCAAAGTCCTCCTCTGCAAGCAGTGGGACTGGTTTACTTGAGTGCTATACTAGACACACAAAGCTTCTTACCAAAGTCCTCCTCTGCAAGCAGTGGAACTGCTCTACTAAAGTGCTATACTAGACACACAAAGCTTCTTACCAAGGTCCTCCTCTGCCAGCAGTGGAACTGGTTCACTAGACTGCTATACTAGACACACAAAGCTTCCTACCGAAGTCCTCCTCTGCCAGCAGTGGAACTGGTCTACTAGAGTGCTATACTAGACACACAAGCTTCTTACCAAAATCCTCCTCTGCCAGCAGTGGAACTGGTTCACTAGACTGCTATACTAGACACACAAAGCTTCCTACAGAAGTCCTCCTCTGCCAGCAGTGGAACTGGTCTACTAGAGTGCTATACTAGACACACAAACTTCTTACCGAAATCCTCCTCTGCCAGCAGTGGAACTGCTCTACTAGAGTGCTATACTAGACATACGAGCTTCTTACCAAAGTCCTCCTCTGCCAGCAGTGGAACTGGTCTACTAGAGTGCTATACTAGACACACAAAGCTTCCTACCAGAGTCCTCCTCTGCAAGCAGTGGGACTGGTTTACTAGAGTGCTATACTAGACACACAAAGCTTCTTACCAAAGTCCTCCTCTGCCAGCAGTGGAACTGGTCTACTAGAGTGCTATACTAGACAAACAAAGCTTCTTACCAAAGTCCTCCTCTGCAAGCAGTTGAACTGCTCTACTAGAGTGCTATACTAGACAAACAAAGCTTCTTACCAAAGTCCTCCTCTGCCAGCAGTGGAACTGGTTCACTAGAGTGCTATACTAGACACACAAAGCTTCCTACCGAAGTCCTCCTCTGCCAGCAGTGGAACTGGTTCACTAGAGTGCTATACTAGACACACAAGCTTCTTACCAAAGTCCTCCTCTGCAAGCAGTGGGACTGGTTTACTTGAGTGCTATACTAGACACACAAAGCTTCTTACCAAAGTCCTCCTCTGCAAGCAGTGGAACTGCTCTACTAAAGTGCTATACTAGACACACAAAGCTTCTTACCAAGGTCCTCCTCTGCCAGCAGTGGAACTGGTTCACTAGACTGCTATACTAGACACACAAAGCTTCCTACCGAAGTCCTCCTCTGCCAGCAGTGGAACTGGTCTACTAGAGTGCTATACTAGACACACAAGCTTCTTACCAAAATCCTCCTCTGCCAGCAGTGGAACTGGTTCACTAGACTGCTATACTAGACACACAAAGCTTCCTACAGAAGTCCTCCTCTGCCAGCAGTGGAACTGGTCTACTAGAGTGCTATACTAGACACACAAACTTCTTACCGAAATCCTCCTCTGCCAGCAGTGGAACTGCTCTACTAGAGTGCTATACTAGACATACGAGCTTCTTACCAAAGTCCTCCTCTGCCAGCAGTGGAACTGGTCCAGTTTGCTGGTTGTGCTGTAGACCCTCATTCTCCGCAGACTTGCGGGACTTGACAGAAGGTGCCGGTGTGGATGTTGCTACTGGTGGACCGAGGCTTGGGGATGCTGCGGCTGTTGTCACCTTGGATGCACGTCTGGTTCGGGGACTTGTGGCTGTGAGGGTGAAGAGATAAGAGATGTCAAGCATTAGTAGCACTTTCTATATAGAGACTTATGATTAATGAAAATATCAAAACAATTATTCTTTTGTCAAAGACTGTTGATAACTAGGTTTCAGATGGCAGACATATTTTAGAGACAAAAAAACAATATTAAGGCATTACAAATCTCATTTTTGGCTGAAGACAATATTTCAGCACAAAAATCAATTTTTTACCTTGAATCAGATATAAATGATTAACATGTTCTATCAATGCCAAAACCATATTTTTGTCACTAAACATTTTGTTATTTGCATATCTGTTTCTATACCCCTAAGAGACTCTTCTATTGTGAATTCTTACGACCAATGTCCAGGAAATCTGACAGTGGACAAATCTGTATAAGGTCTCAGCTGAAGTTTTCCTAAAGACATGAAACATTTATAGATATCAACTTCTTAGTTGTTGGTAAGGAGGTTGTTAGTCCCTATGTTCTTCTGGACGAAGCTTTTGAATTGATTGATGTCCTTCTGGACGAAGCTTTTGAACTGATTGATGTTCCTCTGGACGAAGCTTTTGAACTGATTGATGTCCTTCTGGACGAAGCTTTTGAACTGATTGATGTCCCTCTGGACGAAGCTTTTGAACTGATTGATGTTCCTCTTGACGAAGCTTTTGAACTGATTGATGTCCTTCTGGACAAAGCTTTTGAACTGATTGATGTCCTTCTGGACGAAGCTTTTGAACTGATTGATGTTCCTCTGGACGAAGCTTTTGAACTGATTGATGTTCCTCTGGACGAAGCTTTTGAACTGATAGACTGCCTCATCTCCATGTTGATGTCTAATCAAGTCTTTGACAGGTACTTAGAAGTTGTAAGAAGTTGTTATACATAAAAATGTCATGTCTTCATATCTTCCAAATGCCTATCAAAGACCAAGTTTTCCTATCTCGATCTTACCGTTTTCCTTCTGTCCTCCGGAGTGTTTGTGCTTGAGCCTGGCCTGAAACTCCTGCTGCTTCAGCTTCTGGCGAAGGATGCGCTCCTGCCGCGCTCGCTCCTCTTCATTCTTGAAGTTCCTGCAACATGCCAAGCATGTTACTCCCTCTTAAAGGTAAGGGCTATCTTCATACATCATACTTATTTACCTTTGAAACCACAAGGCCTTTTACAAAAATGTCAAATGTTATACTCGGGAATACACTTTCTTAGTAAAGTACAAATTCTAGTATTTTCTTGGGTTGAGTCCCATCCTTGATTCTCTCAGTGTGAGGCACCTTATTGCCTGCACACAAAGTCACCTATCTAACCGGGTTACACTCAGCTACCGAGGTTTCCACATAGTCCGACAACTGGTAGTCCAGATTACATACTTTGTGTACCCCTCTGACAAGAGTAAATTGGCACGGCTCCCACTTAGCGGTGCACACTTGGTTGATGCATGTCATCGCATCCCAATTACGTAGATCAATGCTTGTGATGTTAATCACAGTATTGTCTGATCTAGACTTCATTATTTTCATGCCCGCCAAATATAGCTGGTATAACACTGTGTGCATCATTTAGTAGGTAAACAAAGAACCAACCCTCTTGAACAGTATTAAGTTATATTAAGGAGTGACAGCTTCATGTGGGAGGAAAGTCGGAAGTAATGAAGATGTTTGGTTAAACCCATGAGCACAAGTATGGAGCTGACAAACCTAGAAACATAACCCGGCCTTACCAGGATTCGAACTCAAGATCATAGGTTTATGGCATGTCTAAGGGATGCAACTCTGCACAGTCAATTGCAGTGTCTTAGACGAAAGTGCCACAGACACCGTAATTGTGAAAACAGACCAAAACCACCAGACAAACTGATCGGTACCAAAATTACAAAATGCAAAACAAAAACGATTTTGTTCTACTCACATTTGCATTATTTATATACTCACCCTTTGGCTAGCATTTGTTCCACTAGGACAGAAGTGCTGACATATGTTCCATCCCCTCTGCTCTCAGTTTCCATGGTAACCATCTCCAATTCACTCTTGACCTTGTTCTGTTCATCCTCACTGACCTGGCCAGCACCTTCAGCCTCGACATTCTCGCCCTCCATGACAGCACAGGCTGCTGCAACATCCTCATCATCCAAGTTGAATGATGTATGAACCTCATCTTTCCCCGTCCCTGGCCTTGTGTTGGGCACCATCCTGACTGGGGGCTCACTGGAAGGGTGAGGTCTGGAGATCTTCGCTGTGCTGGGCACCACCCCAGCCGGCAACTCACTGGAAGGGTCAGGTCTGGAGATCTTCGCTGTGCTGGGCACAACCCCAGCCGGTCTCTCACTGGAAGGGTCAGGTCTGGGGGCCTTTGCTGAGTTGGGCACCACTCCAGCCGACGGCTCATTACCAGGGTCAAGTCTGGGGGTCTTTGCTGAGTTGGGTGCCACACTGAACGGAGGCTCACTGGAAGGGTCAGGTCTGGGGGCCTTTGCAACACTGGGCCCTGCCCTGTTCACTCCATATGCATATGGGCGGGGAAATGTTGACCTCTTGCGTGACTTTGCAATGGAGTTGTCAATTGTCTGATGCTTCATATCTTCCACCTTGTAAGCTTCTGGGGGCTGAAAGTAGCATGTAAGTGTATATTATGCTAAACAACACAAACACATATACACATAAAGTGTTTAGAGGCTGGACTGATACACCTGCAGGTTTAGGGGTTGGACTGATACACTTACAGGTTAGGGGCTGGACTGATACACCTCCAGGTTTAGGGGTTGGACTGATACACCTGCAGGTTAAGGGGCTGGATTGATACACTTACAGGTAATGGGCTTGTCTGATACACCTCCAGATTTAGGGGCTGGACTGATACACCTCCAGGTTTAGGGGCTGGTCTGATACACCTCCAGGTTTAGGGGCTGGACTGATATACCTCCAGGTTTAGGGGCTGGATTGATACACCTCCAGGTTTAGGGGATGGACTGATACACCTCCAGGTTTAGGGGCTGGACTGATACACCTCCAGGTTTAGGGGCTGGACTGATACACTTACAGGTTTAGGGGCTGTTCTGATACACTTACAAGTTTAGGGGCTGGACTTATACATTTATGTACAGGTTTAGGGGCTGGACTGATACACCTTCAGGTTGAGGGTTTGGACTGATATACTTACAGGTTTGGGGGTTCGACTGATACACTTCAGGTACTCCTTGTCTCCGAGACAGTTGCCCATACAGTTTCCAAAACTCCTGCAGAGAGAAACTTCAACATGAATTAACATGACAATACTGTTAAACATGACTCTCAAATATCACACCTTATTGTTTGAAGTAGTCTTTATTCAGCTAGGGCTGGGGTGGATGCATGTTCATTACCTGAGTATCTGACGTGTGTCAGACATTAGTGTCTACCTTTATTACCTTGTACATGTTATAAAGTAGACACAGTGGACGTACTTCATGCAAGTTTGATGATTGCAGTGAGTCAAGAATCAGTTTGTTTGTATATTTGTTTGTTTGTTTAACACCTCACTCAGTAACATTCCAGCAATATGATGGCAGTCTGTAAATAATCTAGTCTGGACCAGACAATCCTATGATTGACATCATAAGCATCAATCCATTGGATACGATGACATGCATCAACCAAGTCAGCGAGCCTGACCACCAGATCTCGTTAGTCGCCTCTTACGGCAAGCATAGTCGCCTTTTATAGCAAAAATGGGTTGCTGAAGACCTATTCTTATCCAGATCTTCATGGGTGCAAGAATCAGTTATGATTCATGTTGAACAGTGGCTCTAACAAGCAGAATATTTGGATGGATTTTTTTTGCAAATTAATCAAACATCACATCTTTAGAGAACAATATTTACAAGCCTGAATGAATGTTCTTCTTGTCATAATGTTATCTCAACAAACACAATTCCATAGATGACATAGATGACAGTCAACAAAATCATGTGATGTTAGATCCAGGTGCTTAAAATTCAACATGGACAGTAAATTCTGTAACCTGTGCTACCAAATGGCTCTATTCACTCATAGTCTTCAAGGGGCGGTCGGGTAGCCTAGTGGTTAAAGCGTTCGCTCGTCACGCCGAAGACCCGGGTTCGATTCCCGACATGGGTACAATGTGTGAAGCCCATTTCTGGTGTCCCCCGCCGTGATATTGCTGGAATATTGCTAAAAGCGGCGTAAAACCATACTCACTCACTCAAGGTCTTCAAATTAAGTTATAACTCAGGATATAGGCTGCATAAAAAATGGTTCTTGGGCATATTTTTCTCAAAAGTGAGAAGGGCTGTGGGACTTTACTTATATATTTTTTTTTATTGAAAACAAATGTGATGCAGGAGGAACACTTCTTTCCCACCAGAATACCAACAAACACAACTAACACAAATTGTTCTCGGCCCTTTAGGAAAATGGCAGTTGTCAAGTATTTAATTTAATGGATAAGAGAGTATGCTTGGTATCACATGGGAAAATATTTTTTAATGGCAATAAAAATGGCTTACGTTTAAGAATTAATGTGACTCACCATGTCCAATCACCATTTCCTTCTTTGTTTTGCCTTACAAGTGTGGGCGTAATTACCACACAGACAGGTCAAATATAAATCTCACATGTTACCTATGCATCATATCTGTAATGAAGTGAGTTAGTGATGACAGACAAGTACTCAACATGCTCAACAATGTTATAGAATGCTACTGACTTGAGAGCTCTCTTGAGTCCATCAGTGACAGCCTCCTTCCTCGCCTTCTCGATAGACAAAGCCTTAGACCGGAGTCCCTCACTCACTCCATACCCGATGTCCTCATGGTACACTCCATCCTTGACACACGTAATACACAGGGTTAGAACAGGCTGTCCTTAGACCGCAGTCCCTCACTCACTCCATCCTTGACACACATAATACACAGGGTTAGAACAGGCTGGCCTTAGACCGCAGTCCCTCACTCACTCCATCCTTGACACACATAATACACAGGGTTAGAACAGGCTGGCCTTAGACCGCAGTCCCTCACTCACTCCATCCTTGACACACATAATACACAGGGTTAGAACAGGCTGGCCTTAGACCGCAGTCCCTCACTCACTCCATCCTTGACACACATAATACACAGGGTTAGAACAGACTGGCCTTAGACCGCAGTCCCTCACTCACTCCATCCTCCACACACATAATACACAGGGTTAGAACAGGCTGGCCTTAGACCGGAGTCCCTCACTCACTCCATCCTTGACACACATAATACACAGGGTTAGAACAGGCTGGCCTTAGACCGCAGTCCCTCACTCACTCCATCCTTGACACACATAATACACAGGGTTAGAACAGACTGTCCTTAGACCGCAGTCCCTCACTCACTCTATCCTTGACACACATAATACACAGGGTTAGGACAGGCTGGCCTTAGACCGCAGTCCCTCACTCACTCCATCCTTGACACACATAATACACAGGGTTAGAACAGGCTGGCCTTAGACCGCAGTCCCTCACTCACTCTATCCTTGACACACATAATACACAGGGTTAGAACAGACTGGCCTTAGACCGCAGTCCCTCACTCACTCCATCCTTGACACACATAATACACAGGGTTAGAACAGGCTGTCCTTAGACCGCAGTCCCTCACTCACTCTATCCTTGACACACATAATACACAGGGTTAGAACAGGCTGGCCTTAGACCGCAGTCCCTCACTCACTCTATCCTTGACACACATAATACACAGGGTTAGAACAGGCTGGCCTTAGACCGGAGTCCCTCACTCACTCCATACCCGATGTCCTCATGGTACACTCCATCCTTGACACACATAATACACAGGGTTAGAACAGGCTGGCCTTAGACCGCAGTCCCTCACTCACTCCATCCTTGACACACATAATACACAGGGTTAGAACAGACTGGCCTTAGACCGCAGTCCCTCACTCACTCCATCCTTGACACACATAATACACAGGGTTAGAACAGGCTGGCCTTAGACCGCAGTCCCTCACTCACTCCATCCTTGACACACATAATACACAGGGTTAGAACAGGCTGGCCTTAGACCGCAGTCCCTCACTCACTCCATCCTTGACACACATAATACACAGGGTTAGAACAGGCTGGCCTTAGACCGCAGTCCCTCACTCACTCTATCCTTGACACACATAATACACAGGGTTAGAACAGGCTGTCCTTAGACCGCAGTCCCTCACTCACTCCATCCTTGACACACATAATACACAGGGTTAGAACAGGCTGGCCTTAGACCGCAGTTCCTCACTCACTCCATCCTTGACACACATAATACACAGGGTTAGAACAGGCTGGCCTTAGACCGCAGTCCCTCACTCACTCCATCCTTGACACACATAATACACAGGGTTAGAACAGACTGGCCTTAGACCGCAGTCCCTCACTCACTCCATCCTCCACACACATAATACACAGGGTTAGAACAGGCTGGCCTTAGACCGGAGTCCCTCACTCACTCCATCCTTGACACACATAATACACAGGGTTAGAACAGGCTGGCCTTAGACCGCAGTCCCTCACTCACTCCATCCTTGACACACATAATACACAGGGTTAGAACAGACTGTCCTTAGACCGCAGTCCCTCACTCACTCTATCCTTGACACACATAATACACAGGGTTAGGACAGGCTGGCCTTAGACCGCAGTTCCTCACTCACTCCATCCTTGACACACATAATACACAGGGTTAGAACAGGCTGGCCTTAGACCGCAGTCCCTCACTCACTCTATCCTTGACACACATAATACACAGGGTTAGAACAGACTGGCCTTAGACCGCAGTCCCTCACTCACTCCATCCTTGACACACATAATACACAGGGTTAGAACAGGCTGTCCTTAGACCGCAGTCCCTCACTCACTCTATCCTTGACACACATAATACACAGGGTTAGAACAGGCTGGCCTTAGACCGCAGTCCCTCACTCACTCTATCCTTGACACACATAATACACAGGGTTAGAACAGGCTGGCCTTAGACCGGAGTCCCTCACTCACTCCATACCCGATGTCCTCATGGTACACTCCATCCTTGACACACATAATACACAGGGTTAGAACAGGCTGGCCTTAGACCGCAGTCCCTCACTCACTCCATCCTTGACACACATAATACACAGGGTTAGAACAGACTGGCCTTAGACCGCAGTCCCTCACTCACTCCATCCTTGACACACATAATACACAGGGTTAGAACAGGCTGGCCTTAGACCGCAGTCCCTCACTCACTCCATCCTTGACACACATAATACACAGGGTTAGAACAGGCTGGCCTTAGACCGCAGTCCCTCACTCACTCCATCCTTGACACACATAATACACAGGGTTAGAACAGGCTGGCCTTAGACCGCAGTCCCTCACTCACTCTATCCTTGACACACATAATACACAGGGTTAGAACAGGCTGGCCTTAGACCGCAGTCCCTCACTCACTCTATCCTTGACACACATAATACACAGGGTTAGAACAGGCTGTCCTTAGACCGGAGTCCCTCACTCACTCCATCCTTGACACACATAAAGAGGACACGGATGGCCCAGTCGTTTTAGGCGCCACAATTCTCTGTGCAGAGTTATGTCCCCTGAGCACGCCAGAAACCTATCACTGTGGGTTCGAACCCTGGTTCGCCCCGATTATGTTTCTATGTTTGTCAGTACCATACCCGTGCTCGTGGGTTTCACCAAAGTGGTAAACGTCTAAGACCTGCATCACTTCAGGCTTTCCTCCCACATGAAGCTGACACGCCAGGATATAACTGGAATACTGTTAAAAGGGGCGTTAAACCAAACTCACTCACTCATCCACACTCACACACATAATACACAGGTTTAGAACAAGCTGGCCTTAGACCAGAGTCCCTCACTCACTCACTCACTCACTCTATACCTGATGTCTGCATGGTACACTCCATCTTGACACACATGATACACAAGTGAATGAGTCTTGTTTTTCACCCTTGTCAGCAATATTTCACACAGATAACAGAGACAGAGATAAGAGAGACCATAAACAATCAAATGGGCGAGCACTACAAAACCGGCTTTTGTCCAGACAAGTTCAAGCAGCCACACACATGTGCATGCACATTGTCAGACCTTCACGCAGAAGGGGGGCGGTCGGGTAGCCTAGTGGTTAAAGCGTTTGCTCGTCACGCCGAAGACCCAGGTTCGATTCCCGACATGGGTACAATGTGTGAAGCCCATTTCTGGTGTCCCCCGCCGTGATATTGCTGCAATATTGCTAAAAGCGGCGTAAAACAATACTCACTCACTTACGCAGAAGGTATTGTACTGAGATTGGTTTGGGCTGCCCCTGCCCTTTACCATGATTCTTGATGTTTCCTCACCTTCAGCTGAACTTTGACCAGAGCACTGACACCAACATAAAAGCGGCCATTGTTATGATCAACAAAATCTGAAAAAATAATTTGAATTCCTTGAACATTATTTCCTCCTAAAGGAATTATACAAAAATTCAATCTCTATTGCAAACTCCATACAAGTTGTCTCAGCCATGTAAGCAATAAGAATAATCTCACTCAACAAACTAAGAACCAGTCACAAATCATGACAGGGATTCACAACAGCCAATTAAACAGGCGAACCAATCCACATTCTAGAGCCACTACATTGTCCGATATTAGAAATACCTAGAGTTGTTTTTGACAAACCGCTAGTTGTTATCGATATTTTGGAGTGACATTGAGTGAGACAGTGTGAGACACAGGGTGAGACACAGAGTGAGATACAGAGTGAGTGTGCAAAACAGAGTGAGACACTGAATGAGACACAGAGTGAGACACGAGTGAGGCATGGAGTGAGAGTGTGAGAAATAGAGTGAGACACAGCGAGAGAAATAGAGTGAGACACAGAGTGAGAAATAGAGCGAGACACAGTGTGAGAAATAGAATGAGACACAGCGTGAGAAATAGAGTGAGACACAGCATGAGAAATAGAGTGAGACACAGAATGAGAAATAGAGTGGGACACAGAATGAGAAATAGAGTGAGACACAGAGTGAGACACAGTGTGAGAAATAGTGAGACACAGCGTGAGAAACAGAGTGAGACACAGCGTGAGAAATAAAGTGAGACACAGTGAGAAATAGATTGAGACACAGAGTGAGAAATAGAGTGAGACACAGTGTGAGAAATAGAGTGAGACACAGAGTGAGACACAGTGTGAGAAATAGTGAGACACAGAGTGAGAAATAGAGTGAGACACAGCATGAGAAATAGAGTGAGACACAGAGTGAGACACAGTGTGAGAAATAGTGAGACACAGCGTGAGAAACAGAGTGAGACACAGCGTGAGAAATAAAGTGAGACACAGTGAGAAATAGATTGAGACACAGAGTGAGAAATAGAGTGAGACACAGTGTGAGAAATAGAGTGAGACACAACATGAGAAATAGAGTGAGACACAGAATGAGAAATAGAGTGAGACAGCATGAGAAATAGAGTAAGACACAGAGTGAGACACAGTGTGAGACATAGAGTGAGACACAGCGTGAGAAATAGAGTGAGACACAGAGTGTGACACAGTGTGAGAAATAGAGTGAGACACAGCGTGAGAAATAGAGTGAGACACAGTGTGAGAAATAGAGTGAGACACAACATGAGAAATAGAGTGAGACACAGTGTGAGAAATAGAGTGAGACACAGCGTGAGAAATAGAGTGAGACACAGAGTGAGAAATAGAGTGAGACACAGAGTGAGAAATAGAGTGAGACACAGTGTTAGAAATAGATTGAGACACAGAGTGAGAAATAGAATGAGACACAGTGTGACACACGGAGTGAGACACAGAGAGAGACAACATAAGGATGACTCCCTACACTGCTACATCAGCTTACCCACAGTCTGGTGAGACACAGAGTGCGACCAACCATTGAAGCCAAACGTCTCATTAGCGAGATTGATCAGTCGCCATCCCTCGATGTAGGCCAGCTGAAACATAACATGTAATTCCTGATTCTTTAATCATCCTTATTATACCTTCAATATTCAAAGTTCTATCATAAAATCTACTACAGTGAAATCTCATTCACTCAAACTGCATCAAGCTAAAATATTTCAAGTTAAAGGCTTTTGATAATGACAGCATAATGCAGTATGAAGTTGGATATGTAATCTTCATGAAACAAACAGAACTAAACCCACCTGTCGACTGTATATTGTGTTGGACATATTAACAACATGTTCAGTATCTGTCATCTGCATATTGTGTTGGACATAATAATAGCATTAAACATGATTAATAGCAGAATCTGCCGTCTTTTTATTGTTCCATAAATACAAGCTTTGCAAAAAAAATAGAATCAGTCAACTGCTTAGTGTACCAGGTATAATATTTATTATTAGTACTGAAACCTACATGTTGTCTACTTAAAGATGCACAAACAAGCTTCATCCGGAGAAGTTTATGACAGATGAATATTTTCAAAGAGAGGGAACATTTCATTCAGTAGAATGATTTCTTTATGTTTAAAATTATAAATTTAAATAATTTTCTTGAATGACTAAAGGCATAAAGACATATTAGCCAGTATTGATGTTTATGGATCACAGAACAATCCACTCACCAAAATATACTGAACAACAAAAGTTCCTGTGACATTGAATAAGATAAGTTATGTTTTTTACCAAATCTAAAACAATTTAGGTTTGCAACAGATAAAAGACTCCTGTAAGTGTTCAAATGGTTTAATTTGCCATAATGACTTGAAAATGAAAATGCGTGATTTCATAAAAAACATGAACATGCCAAAATGTCAATTTACAAATCAATAGCGTGTGTGTCCACCACTGGTTTGCGTTTCAAGCAACACATCTTCGTCTCATGGAATGGACCAGGCGTCGCACAAAGTCCTGTGGAATATCTGTCCATATCTGCTGGAGCATGTTTCGAAGTTCCTGGAGTGTCTGTGCAACACGTGGTTGACGTTGAAGGCGCCGATCCATCTCATCCCACATGTGCTCAATTGGTGAGAGATCAGGGGAGCAAGCCGGCCAGGTGATGACATTCACGTTGTTTTGTTGAAGAGAATCCTGAACAAGTCGAGCAATATGAGGCCGGGCATTGTCATGTTGAAAGGTAATGCCTGGGCCATGATGATGCAAAAACGGTAGAACAACAGGGCTGATGATCTCATCGTGGTACCGCAGCCATTGAGATTTCCCTCTACCACTATCAAACGGGTCCTCTGTCTTGCTGTAATCTCACCCCATACCATAATGCTGCCGCCCCCGAACCGATCTTCTTCCATGACACAATGATTGACATAATGTTCACCTCGACTTCAGTACACTCGAATCCGTCCATCGCTGTGGCTGAGGTGAAAACGAGACTCGTCAGTGAATAGAACTTGTCCCCACTTCATGGCCGTCCAGCGTAGATGCTGTCTGCACCACGGTGGTTTCCTGTCAAAATGGGACATCTGGTGGATCTTCTGGCGACAATCCCTGCACATCTGAGGCGACGACGTACGGTTTGTGAAGATATTCGTTGAAGGCCAAGGATGCTTCTTGCAGTCACTGTTGCTGGCTGGAATCGATTTCGTAGGTGTGTTGTTCGAATGCAGTTGTCAAGTTGATTATTGGTTACGCGTGGCCTGCCTTTCCGAGGATGGTGTCTGACTGCATTCGTCTGTTGCCAATGTCGATAAACACCAAACGGTGTTTCTGTGGACGTTGAATTGTCTTGCAACATCACGTTGACTCGATACTGCTTCAAGCATACCAATGGCTCGCAGACGCTAATTTTCAGACAGGCGTGGCATTTCGTTACGTTGAATAATTGCGTAATTTTGTTGTTTTTCTGAGTGGTTGTTGTCAGCACGATGCTAAACAATGCATATGAAATCCCGTTAATGCACATGTTTTTATACCCATTCTTGGGTAGTGAAACGCATGGGGCTTGCATAAAAGTAAACTTTTGCATAGAATGCATGCTTTTCTGTAGCAGTTGCATTTTTGTGACTTGATTCCATACATGTACTACAATATTGAAAACCAAACTTTACTTGTTTGAAAAATACACAAAAATATTGGTGTCACAGGAACTTTTGTTGTTGAGCATATACTTTTGAGGGAACGCTTGATAATTTCTATGCATAAAGGTCTAGCACTGACAGATCATCGTGACAACAAAAAGGCCATGGTTGTGTCAGGAGATCAGGGGGAAAGGTGGAAGCGCTGCAACTTGCACACTCACCAACTCCAACCATTGCTTCAACTGAGGACATCCCACTACGGGTCACGTCAGACCGACCTTGCGCGAACTTTGACCGACCAATGGAATGACCAATCAGGAGGCAGCTTTCTCATGCTTTACGGCACTAATTTCAAATTGGCGACTACGCTTCGAAGCATATTTTGACAAATTCTCGATTACAAATTTGAAACCTGAACAAAAGAACATTCTCCAATGGCTAATATATGGTCTAGATTGTATAGAGTAGGTCGTTAAGCCGGTAAATATCGCTCGGAATACCCCATGTTAAAGTTTTCGCGGTTGCATGATTAGAAATTACATTCCGACTGTCACTTTCTTAATCTGGCAAGCGATGCTCTGATTGGTTGGATGAAAGGTCGTTCTGACATGACCCCTAATGGGATGTCCTCAGATCTTTGTTTAGCGGTAGCGAGAACTGAGGTCTGATTTAAATGAGATTGTAACTATCCCATCTAACATCACATGTCTCACTCAAGTAGGTTAGTTATCAGAGACACAGCCAGGAGCAGGCTGTTATAGCGTCTGGTTGCAGATACGTCAACGTTGGGTGTGTCAAAAGAAGACATGGACCACAGACTACATTGCTCTGAGTGTCCACTTCGCATGCACTCCCTGACCCCGTCCGCTGAGGAAGTCAGCACTGACTGACACACAGATGGTAGTATTAGAACAATACAGATGATAGTCAACAGTCGACTCAGTCCCTGCATGGAGACAGGAAATGTACGACAATACCACAACAGCATGCACACAAAATCCTCCCACCGCCTGACAACGGCAGAGAGCAGACTTTGCGAGCAGGTGATTGGAGCTCCATTAAATGTGAGCCAGTATTAAAGAGAGGTAGACACCTGGTGGTCCATGACACCACGTGGCAGCATCCGAAGATGGCTGTTCCAGGTGTCCTCTCCCCCTCTGTGGTGCATAGTATAGTATTGGGTCATTGATAGAATGAGTTAGGATGACTACTATCATTGGAGGCAAGTATAAGTAATATAAAAAAACATGAACAAGAAAATGAAGAAAAACAATCTTAAAAAAAGCATGGCATAGACCTTGGCATGTGGCGATTTAATGACAATTCATGTCCGTAAAATCTGAGAACTTAATTGCAATTGCGATTAAAATGATTGTCAATAGGACACAGATCACCACATCTTCCCGAGGCAAGGGAGTTAACTGACTTTAAAAGTCCAGTTGCCACATTGTCGAACTAGGCTGGAATTCCTGGGCTCAACAGTAGCGCCATCAGTGGTTATTACGAGTTATGTCCCTTCTAAGCCTCTCATATTTACCAACCAGATTCCAACTCTCGTATCACTTGCATTTGTTTAAAAAAAAAATGTCTGCGCCCAGTCAATACGATCTGATCTATATTGTGATAAAACGGGTCTTACATAGCGAAGTGCATCAAAGCATGTGAACACCTTGATTAAATACATGAAAAGACTTGGAAAATATCAAGTTGGCGGTGCACATGCTTTGCAAATCCTGCAATCGACAGAAATCTGCATGTCATTTTATGAACCGGATTTAGATTTATGTGCGCGATTTTGATTGGACTGTGCATAGACTCATTAGTCCAGCCAAAATGTAACTCCATAATACCAGCCTAGTTCAGCAAGTTTGGAAACTGGACTTTCATAGTCTGTTAACTCACTTGCCTCAGGAAGATGAGATCACTATGAAGTGAGAGCGTGAATGAGGTTTAAACTGTAATCAAGAATACAACCATGATTACACATGAAACAATAAACGGATGTTAAAAAGAACAACATCCAGGGATATATCTTGGATTCCACCCTAAGTGCCCTTGCAATTGGGAAAAAGCTGTGAGATTGTTCAAAATTGGATTTTTTACTGTTCTTATTTTCGTAAATTCTGAGGTATTGGGACATTTCTAATTCAAATTGGGAATTGTTTCTGTCATTTGCTGCAGACTTGGGGCCAAATATCCACCTCTGAACAGGTCTAGATAAATCCCTGAATATCAAAGGTTTTTTTGTTTTTTTTTTGTAAGGATTGTTTGATCCTGTGAGCTGCTGGAGGAGTCTCGACATGGTGACACATGGAGTCAATGTGTGTGGAAATAGCAAGACTGCACGTTTTGCCTGCTCACCTTGAGTCCTGCAGCGCCCGTTCTCTGGCTGATGAACTCTGGGCCGAGTCGCTGGCGGAGAGCATTCTGGATGGCACTGTGTTCCTCATCGGAGAACTCAGCCTACAGTAAATACACACATGTACACATCAGCCTACAGTAAATACACATATGTACACATCAGCCTACAGTAAATACACACATGTACACATCAGCCTACAGTAAATACACATATGTACACATCAGCCTACAGTAAATACACATGTGTACACATCAGCCTACAGTAAATACACACATGTACACATCAGCCTACAGTAAATACACATATGTACACATCAGCCTACAGTAAATACACACATGTACACATCAGCCTACAGTAAATACACATTTGTACACATCAGCCTACAGTAAATACACACATGTACACATCAGCCTACAGTAAATACACATATGTACACATCAGCCTACAGTAAATACACACATGTACGCATCAGCTTACACTAAATACACACATGTACTCATCAGCCTACAGTAAAAACACATATGTAAGCATCAGCTTACACTAAATACACACATGTACTCATCAGCCTACAGTAAATACACACATGTACACATCAGCCTACAGTAAATACACATGTGTACACATCAGCCTACAGTAAATACACACATGTACTCATCAGCCTACACTAAATACACATATGTACACATCAGCCTACACTAAATACACATATGTACACATCAGCCTACAGTAAATACACACATGTACACATCAGCCTACAGTAAATACACATATGTACTCATCAGCCTACAGTAAATACACACATGTACACATCAGCCTACAGTAAATACACATATGTACACATCAGCCTACAGTAAATACACACATGTACACATCAGCCTACACTAAATACACATATGTACTCATCAGCCTACAGTAAATACACATATGTACACATCAGCCTACAGTAAATACACATATGTACTCATCAGCCTACAGTAAATACACATATGTACACATCAGCCTACAGTAAATACACATATGTACACATCAGCCTACAGTAAATACACATATGTACACATCAGCCTACAGTAAATACACATATGTACACATCAGCCTACACTAAATATACATATGTACACATCAGCCTACACTAAATACACATATGTACACATCAGCCTATACTAAATACACACGTGTACACATCAGCCTACACTAAATACATATATGTACACATCAGCCTACAGTAAATACACATATGTACACATCAGCCTACACTAAATACACATATGTACACATCAGCCTACACTAAATACACATATGTACTCATCAGCCTACAGTAAAAACACACATGTACACATCAGCCTACAGTAAATACACATATGTACTCATCAGCCTACAGTAAATACACATATGTACACATCAGCCTACAGTAAATACACATATGTACACATCAGCCTACACTAAATACACATATGTACACATCAGCCTACAGTAAATACACATATGTACACATCAGCCTACAGTAAATACACTTATGTACACATCAGCCTACACTAAATACACATATGTACACATCAGCCTACAGTAAATACACTTATGTACACATCAGCCTACACTAAATACACATATGTACACATCAGCCTACAGTAAATACACTTATGTACACATCAGCCTACACTAAATACACATATGTACACATCAGCCTACACTAAATACACATATGTACACATCAGCCTACACTAAATACACACATGTACACATCAGCCTACACTAAATACACATATGTACACATCAGCCTACACTAAATACACACATGTACACATCAGCCTACAGTAAATACACATATGTACACATCAGCCTACACTAAATACACACATGTACTCATCAGCCTACAGTAAATACACATATGTACACATCAGCCTACACTAAATACACATATGTACACATCAGCCTACACTAAATACACATATGTACTCATCAGCCTACACTAAATACACATATGTACACATCAGCCTACAGTAAATACACATATGTACACATCAGCCTGCACTAAATACACATATGTACACATCAGCCTACACTAAATACACATATGTACACATCAGCCTACACTAAATATACATATGTACACATCAGCCTACACTAAATACACATATGTACACATCAGCCTATACTAAATACACACGTGTACACATCAGCCTACACTAAATACATATATGTACACATCAGCCTACACTAAATGCACACATGTACACATCAGCCTACAGTAAATACACATATGTACTCATCAGCCTACACTAAATACACATATGTACACATCAGCCAACAGTAAATACACATATGTACTCATCAGCCTACAGTAAATACACATATATACTCATCAGCCTACAGTAAATACACATATGTACACATCAGCCTACACTAAATACACATATGTACTCATCAGCCTACACTAAATACACACATGTACTCATCAGCCTACAATAAATACACATATGTACTCATCAGCCTACAGTAAATACACATATGTACTCATCAGCCTACAGTAAATACACATATGTACACATCAGCCTACACTAAATACACATATGTACTCATCAGCCTACACTAAATACACACATGTACTCATCAGCCTACACTAAATACACACATGTACACATCAGGCTACAGTAAATACACACATGTACACATCAACTCAATATTCTGCTGCCAATTTGATTAAATTCTGCAGCCAAATATGTACATTTCTGCACACAAATCTGAAAAGTTTTAAGCTTAGTTTTCATGAATTTCATAGTTTTGCAACTGTTTCACGCATGGCAAGCATTTTTATGATAAACTTATCCATGACTAGAACAGCTTATTAAAGTAAATCTGGAGATCACTTGTGTGACCATACAGACATGCACTCTCTCAAACTGCAGGTTTACTTTGTGAATCATGCTGTGAATTAAGCGAGTAGCTTATGTTCATTTCTTCAGAGCTCCAGATAAGTTTGTGAGCAATTGAGTTTTTACTCTAGGGTTTCTATTTTATTTGGGTTATTACATTTTTCATTGGGTAACCAATATTTTTTCATTGATCTATTCATCACTCTATTGGGTTTTTCCCAAAATTAGGGAACATTTTAAGATTTAAAATAAATGAAATAATGTTTTAGATGTATATAAATGTTTTAAATATATAGGCTTGACTCGGAAAGAAAATTAGCTTGTTATTGCGTTTCGGAAATTAGCTCCTTTGAACGCATGCTGAAAAAGCTTCATTCTATATTTATGAGAGCTTTTTTTATACATTTGAATTTTTCATTCAATGCATGCGTTTCTGTACGCAAGTTAATTGAAAGTAATTGGGTTTTGAATATTTTTTTCTATTTTACGCAAATACGCTGCTTATCTGTAGCTCTGTTTCTCACTGGCTTCAAATAATAAAGATTGTCAAAAGTTATTTATATTTTGTGTATGTAGCCTAGGTGTGTACTTTAAGCAATGTGGCATTACGGTTTTAACCATACCATCGCCACTCAAATACCAGAGGCATCAGAATGACACATCCCACCGGCCCCCACAATAACAAAAGGCAACAATTCAGACCCTGGTTAATACATGTACCATGTTTGGATGAAAAGTTTTTCATGGTTTTCAAGTTATGCTCTGGAAATGAAATACGGACAGACAGACCAGATGGTGACCATTTCCGCATACAGTATACGCAGGGGGGTGATACAAGGAATTCATGATGCTTGATGCCCTATGAATCAGAAAAGTCACACACTGTAACCATCTGATGCCCAGCTAAGTTGGCGTTTACATCACACGTTGGTTGGTTGGTTTGTTATTTAACGCCGCACTCAGCAATATTCCAGCTATATGACGGTGGTCAGGAAATAATCAAGGCTGGACCAGACAATCCAGTGATAAATATCATGAGCATCGATCCATGCTTTTGTTTTTTTATTGTTTGTTGTTTAACGCCGCATTCAGCAATATTCCAGCTATGTGACGGCGGTCTGTAAAATAATCAAGTCTGGACCAGACAATCCAGTGATTGACATCATGAGCATCGATCCACGCAATTGGGATCGATGACATGTATCAACAAAGTCAGCGAGCCCAACCACCCGATCCCATTAGTCGCCTTTTTCGACAAGCATAGTCGCCTTTTACGGCAAGTATGGGTTGCTGACGACCTATTCTATCCCTGAATCTTCATGGGTCTCGATCCATGCACATGGGATTGATGAGATGCATCAACCAAGTCAGTGAGTCTGACCACCCGATTCTGTTAATTGCCTTTTACGACAAGCATAGTCGCCTTTTACAGCAAGCATACGTTGATAAAGACCTATTCTTCCCCAGATCTTCACGGATCACATCACACATATGTACAGGGGATTTATTCTGTTACCATACGTTCATTAACCAGTGTTAACCATCATCATTAAAGCCACACATTACTCATATCAAACAAAAAGTTATGTTACTACAGAATAATACCACATCAAATCAGAACCCATCCGCAGACATACGGAGCAGTGACACCAGTACACATTGTCTTCAGAGTCCTTTTATGCATGCTTCAGTGACTCTACTCAACAACACGAAAAGCCAGGTCCTGTAGTTGGAATTGAAAATTCACAATTTCATGAGTGAGTGAGTTGGATTTAACGCCGCTTTTAACAGTATTCCAGTTATATCATGGCGTGTCAGCTTAATGTGGGAGGAAAGCCCGAAGTGATGCAGGTCTAAGACGTTTACCACTTCGGTGAAACCCACGAGCACGGGTATGGTGCTGACAAACCTAGAAACATAATCCGGGCGAACCGGGATTCGAACCCACAACCATAGGTTTCTGGCATGCCCAAGGGACGCAACTCTGCACAGCGAATCGCGGCGCCTTAGACGACTGGGCCACCCATGCCCCCCCCACAATTTCATGAGGCCACCTTGACGCCGTGATATAATTGGAATACTGTTAAAAGCGGTGTTAAACCCATCTCACTCACTCACTCACTTATGTTAATACTGCTCCATGACACATAATGCATGGTACAATTAAAGGGACAGGATGTTGATCATTCTGAAGCTTTGTTTGTGAACAATAGCCGAAACCCCCAAGCTTACTCGGCTCTGCTTGCCTTATTCTGCAAGAGAAGTTTCTGCTCCAGTGACCACACTGCGGGTGTAGGCTTATCATGTGACCAGACTTTTCTCTTGTTTGTAAACAAATGCACTTATTCTGAAATAAGAACAGACGGGCCTAATGCAAGCCTTTCGGTGCACTCGGTGCTGTTTTGTTTAATTATATAGACATGCCACTACAACTGCAACAGTGAGGTGCATGACAAAATAGCTTTACTCTTCAAAGTGATCATATCCCTAGCTTTCCGTTGGGCTTCAATGACAGCATGTGGAGGATGAATGCGCAAATGGGAATAGTTTGTCATGTTTTAGGATATTTTTTTATTAAGTTGTGTTCATCTTAATGTGAAAACTCATCTAAAATGAAAAATGTAAAATGTAGGTAGTCTGCTAGGCTGGCCGCAAGGACCTCTGGTTAAGAGGGTTATTGGCTTCACACAGCCGAGGCATTTATATTGTAATCTAGGTGTTGGTAATCACTGGCTTCTAATCTAATGAAATTGACAATTAGTATTTTGTAACTCATCCGTTATGGACGTGATGTCACACCCGGAAATTATTTCATGCATGATTTAAAAATACACAGAACTGTCGACATACTGTCCCTTTGATACAACAATGAAGGTCGAATGTAACCAATGAATTATACATGCCAAGTTTTATATATGTATATATACGTGCAGATTCTATTAATCAACACTGGAACATCTCTACATTTTGGAAGTCATAAGCTAAGCTTACCAAACTGGACAACATTTGGCACAGGGTCATCAAAAATTCATAAATCCACCTCTGATTGAATCATGTTTTGAGGCATAAATATTGATCATCTAGAAAAAAAAAGAGGCAACAATGCAGTTTACCGGGCACAGCCCCAGCTCTACCATCCAGTCAATTACCGCGCTATAGTGCTACCACTGTCTCGCTATACCGTTACTGTGCCTCACACTCCGGTGAATCTCGCTTCACGATCTGACACCCGTTTTCGGTCTCAGGGAAACTTACACGTCTTTACGATCCAACACCCGTTTTTGGTCTTAGGGAAACTTACACGCCTTTACGACCCAACACCCCTTTTCGGTATTTGGGAAACTTACACGTCTTTACAATCCAACACCCCTTTTAGGTTCTTAGGGTTGGTTAGCTTGCTTTGGGCAAGGGTTAGCCATAGTTTCTTACCTTTCCAAGCATTAATCCAGTAAATCCGATTGGTCGGTCATGTTGACATAAACAATGGCGGGTGTGGTTTCAAGAAAAGATTAATGGGAGAGCAGATGGTGACGTCACACGCAAGCGCAATTCATTGTTTCCTGAATTACGCATGCTTGTTAATGGGGTGCTAATGACCCGTTAAACGAGCACTGATTACGTGTAAAAGCGCTCGTGGTCCAGTTGTAGAGTGTCGGCTAATTAACGCATTAATTAACGCATTAATTAGCCAAGCTGGTGAGCCGGGGAAGCACTTTCGAGCCCCCGCAGCGCTAACTGGATCTGAAAAAGTGCGCCCGGTAAAGTGCACTTCTCCCCTCCAAAAAAACTTCAGAATCCTGTACGTTACAATGACGTCTAGAATACTATGGTGCGCATATGAAACGAAGATAATTATTGTCACTGTCTAAGTCGAGTTGTAGCCTAATATGTCGTGGGAGTATGTGAGTATGCACTGCGAAGTTTCAGATGCCAAACTCACCAAGTCAATAGATTCAAATCGAGACATGAGAGAATATTTTACCTGTCCAAAACACGCGGGCTTGGGCTCCATTAGAATCTTCCTTATGTCTCTCGTTGATCGGTACTCATATCAAATTTAAATTTACCGCCATGGCACGGTAGATTTGACATTTTGAATCCCGCAAATTCAACAAGCCACTACAACATTTCAGACGAATACATTTGTATCGTCATTTCGTTCTTTTGTCCTTAATTGTACCCTGCTTTTAACAGACTTGTGACAAGCAGTGTCGTTATTTCAATACACTGAAATATCTCAGAAAACTCGATAAAAAATAACATCAACAATAACAAATTTTCAGAAACCGGAAACGGAACAAGTTCATGCACCATGGTTGGGATGCAAGATCCGGACCAAACCGTAAAATATCCTAACATTAAACCGGAGAGTACACACACTGAAAAGATTCGATACATTTATATGAACTGGTTCCTAGAAAACACATTTAAAAAATATTTTTTCCCTATGACATAACAAAAACTCTGTATACTGTGGTGAGGTGAATTCATGAAACGGGGTTTCAACAGATCATATATTGCGCTCATATATAGCCACATGTCTGTGATTGTACTTGTCCGGACTAATGCTGGTTTTATCCTCAAAGAGGTTGTACAAAATGTTGTTATCTTGTAGACGAAAAAAACGACAAGTGGTCACTGTTTATCGTGCCAAAAAACAACACTGCAGGGAGAAAAAAAACCTCTCGGGGTTGCGCGCCTAATTGTTTATTCTCCCGGAAGTGTGATATTAGGAAATAAACAACGACCACGAGTCGATTATTTATTATATGAGATATCAATATTATGTACAGCCTCTTTAAGGATGTTACTAATATGTACAAGCTTTTTAAATATTTACCCGTATGTAAATAATGATCACTCCCTGGATAGAATCCGACCTTGGCAATGTCGGACAAGTCCATTTTACGAACAGGGTGGGTTAAGTTTGGTATTTTCCGCATATTCACAGGTCGATTATCTGTACCTTTCCTCCTAATACCGATTGTCATATCTCTGCCTCTTTTGGATGCGGTCGTTCGGCCACTGCGATTATCTGTGTAACCCACCTACATTTGTGGGGAACAACTTACCAGACACTTCTCTCTAAAAATTAATATCGTCCAATAATGACGTCATCAAGTTGTTAGAGCGTATTCGAATCTCCAGAAATGACGTCATGACAGAACAATGTCTTGTCGTGAAATATAAGATAGCTTCGCTATAAATCGCAAAGATCAATGTAGAACGAAGCGTGGTTTATTTCACGATAAATCATTGTTCTATCATGGCGTCATTTATGGAGATTCGAACATGCGCTCGCAACCCGATGACGTAAATTGGACGACGTTATTGTTGAGAGGGACGTGTCGAGTGAGTTGTTCTCATGTATCTGGACAACCTAGATAAACGCAATGCCCGAACGAACGCTTCCAAACGTGGGAGAGATAAAGCCATCGGCATTAGGAGAAAAGGTACAGATAATCGACGTGAGGTTTGGGAGAATATGCAGGAAAGACCAAATTTAACTCCCCTGTTCCTAAAATGGACTTATCGGATTCTATTCAGGGAGTCATCATTATTTAAATAGGGTAAATATTTTTTTAAAAACTGGTACTTTTCACTAACATCCTTAAAGAGGCTGTATGTAATGTTGATATTTCATATAAGAAATATAGACTCGTGGTCGTTGGTTATCGTACAATAAAGCACTACAGGGAGAATAAACTTTTAAATTATAAAAAAAACTTACGTTTACATTTCTTGCTTAGTGTATAAAGGCGCAACTAAGGATTTCGATTTTTATTAGAACAACTTATCTGAGTTGTACATGGGAATAATTATTTCAAAACAATACACCTCATTATATATAGACACACCACACACGCACTCAAGAGATATGGATGTATGGACCTTGGGAAGATTATATGCGCACACACAAACTCCAGGGTTGTTTTCGTGCATACAGAAACTAGTCTGGAGTGTTATATAAGCGTTACTTTAAACCTCCTTAGCGGTCATCACAACTTAGCGTGAACACGAAGTATTTGTTTATCAGAATATGCCATGGATGAAATAAACAAATGTCATTCCTTCTGCAAATCTTATCTTGTACGTTTGATTCACATTTCATTCATAGTATGTGCAGTTTCATTGACGGCAGGGAGACGACTTTCCAACATGACCTTTAAGAAGCAGAAATATGCAACATTATCTAAGAGTGCCTTCCCTGAATGTTGTAGATCTTCGGTAATTACTGGAGCTGGAATATTGCTGAGCTGGCGTTAACAATATTTACAGGGGTGCTGCCATGGTTGTCCAGTGATCGTTTTGCTAAGTTCATCCCTTTAATCTCTTATGGTCTGCTGAACGTGTGTTCGAATCCCAGATTCGCTCCGATTATGATCCATGGTACAACAGTATACACTATCTGAGGAGAATACCTGTCCCAACTGCAAGCTTTCATGCAGTTTGGTCTTTCTTCCCATCATTGTGACACAACTATTGTTCAAAGCAGCGTATTATAAATGATCTGCGTTTGTGTGTTTGTTTAACGCCGCACTCAGCAATATTCCAGCTATATGACGGCGGTCTGTAAATATTCGAGATTGACATCATGAGCATCGATCCACGCAATTGGGATACGATGACATGCATCAAAAAAGTCAGCGAGCCTGACCACCCGATCCTGTTAGTCGCCTCTTACGACAAGCACAGTCGCCTTTCACAGCAAGCATGGGTTGCTAAAGACCCATTCTACTCCGGATCTTTACGAGTACAAATGATCAACGACACATTATATATCAGAAAAATATGACATACATGGTGGTACATGTTGGGAACTTCATCAGTTACATGCTAGTTATGCCGAGAATCTTTGTCTTGACAATTAAGGTTCATCTTCAGCAAATGAGCAGGCTTTTATTAAGTTATACCCGTTTTCTCTGCCAGCAAGGAACTGGATGATAATAAGAGCTATGAAAGATGCGTTTAATCTCATTAAAAACAGATATTAGTTCTCGCTGCCACAAAACACAAGTACGGTAGCCAGCACTAAGATATGATTAAATGAGATTGAGATGCATGAGGTATATCTTCTGATTATCGGCGAATGGGCGACTCTATCGGAAGACAAAAGAGACCTCAGGTGTAGTTAATATATAAGTGAGGGATTGGTCATTTATCACCGGGAGGACGGGAACTGAGACTGGTCTTGAGACTGGGTTCGGTCAAATGGGGCATACATGATGCTTTTGCATCAAGACCAGGTCTATCAATATACAACATCCATTTCCATAGATTTGTGACGGGAGCCACCGGTGGGGTGGGGGTGGGGGTGGGAAACGCTCATGCACCTTTTCGCGAACACCTGGTATCATCACTATTTCATAGTGATTCATAAACACATGCTTATCATATAGTCGGAATTGTACAGTCGACTCTGCTTTATGCAGATATTTCTAATGGAAATGGAAGGGGTTTTGTGGCTTTATTTCAACTAAGCATCACAACTGTATATTGTATGTGGATCCGGGTCGGATTATAAGTCCCCAGTGTCCCGTCTGCGTGGCGTGTAGTCAGAGCCCACTAAATGTGGGTCCGGGTGGTCATGTATAGACTGTGACGTGGCTGACTAACACGATACGCTGTTCCCGCTCTCAACCACTGGTTTGCCTGGCCCCTACTCCATTATTGCGTTTTGAAGCATTCCAGAGATTTATACATCCGTACTTTATATGTGATCTGGCATACTAAATTAAACTTGTGACAATACCACGTCCAATCCTTTTGGCGGTATGTTCAACACAATTACACGATTACTGAATGCGAAATGCCAAATCACAAAATACATCCGTCCTTTTCCAATAAGCGGTATCCGGGCTTGTAATCTATATCAAAACATGTAATCTATTGAATGAATTGCCACTTGTGTAAAATATCTTGCCTAGATTATGCTAATGTTTACACAACATATATCGCATACAGACTATACCACAATTAGCCACTTGACAATTGGTACAATAATTGTACCATAGCGTTTACACAACATACATACATCTACGTAATGACCCAAATACCACAAATTAACGAGAAGAAAATCCTACCACGATCGTACTAACGTTTACACAGCATATACATCCATGTAATGATTGGAATACAACAAATTAACTAGAAAATCCTACCACGATCGTACTGGCGTTCACACAACATATACATCTACATGTAACGACTAGAATACAACAAATTAACTAGAAAATCCTACCACGATCGTACTGGCATTCACACAACATCTACATCTACATGTAACGACTAGAATACCACAAATTAACGAGATGAAAATCCTACCACGATCGTATACTAACGTTTACACAGCATATACATCTATGTAACGAATGGAATACCACACTTGAACGAAGTGACAATTCGAAGCAATTTTTACATCGGGACTCTCCCACCAAACGGCGCATCCGACACTCGTGTGTGTGTATATTTACGTTGGCGATTTAACGGTCGCTTATTCTAAAGGGGGAGGTGTGTTTTAGTTGTGTACACTTGCATGAAGGAAGAAGGGAGGCATACACAGTTACAATTGTTCGCGGGGTAAGGGGGCAGATAACGAGGATTGGTGGACGGGGATTATGCAGATGTCAGTGATGACACGACCTTAACTTCTGTGGCTATTGTATTTTCAATTACTATAGCTATTGTATTCTTACGTTACTGTGATATGTTTAACAATGGACTAATTGACAGGGAAGAACGGGTGTCCATATACCAGTAACTGGTAGGAGTCAATTTTGCCAAGAAACTTTCTACGAAGATTCATTAAACAAACATGACAGATAAAAAGGTGTAAACAATTACAAACACATCAAATATACCTTGTAAATATACTATACACAGAAAACACTTTGAAATCATAAATTGTTTTTCCAACGAAATTGAAAATATTTTTCAACTCTTGATTTCATTAACAGGTTAAGTCTGTTTAAAAAGATAATGAGAAAACCTAAACAAAGAATCAGTTCCTTTTTTTTCATAATCTGAGATGTCACCGAAATATATATCGATTATTTGAGAGCATCCTGTGGCGTCTGCAATGTGGTGCTTTTGTCCGGATTTTAAAACTGATGTCCTACGCGGTACTATTTCCATTACAACTTACTCACATGCATCATTACCCGCACACGAAACCAGTGTAAGCAAAAAACAATCTAGCTCTTAAAGAACACAAAATGTATAGAATAAACAAAGAAGAATGTGTTATATGAGCGTATGACTGTTTGAGTTAAATATTTTAATCATGTTTGATAATTTTTAACTTTGACTTTAAAATATATGATTAAAGCCATTAATTTTCTTATGTTTTTTCTTATCCATGAATATGTCACCTGCAGGTCTATCTGCACGGGATTGCGTAGCTGTACACATACAGAAATAATATATCGACCCATGTATCCTGTGGGTCAATAAAATATTTCTTGTTTGTACAGCTACGTACACCTGTGATATAAGTTACATAATGCTGTATTTCAGTAAACATCAAACCTGTTGATAAATATGTGAGACAGCCATAAAATGAGTATATTTAATATAACGCCACACCAACTGACTACATGGAATATATATATGACCTTGAGTTTGCGGACAATACACAGAGGTGCCATCTGCATATTGAGACCTAACTGTCGATATCTCCGCTATTCGCTGCCGCAAGAGATTTCAGCCATAGGAAGAAAGTAAATAATACCAGGTGGGGCTGTAAACTTTCTAAAGCCCTCAACCGTCAAGCGATAATGAGAGAGACATAATTCTCAGTGTTGTGTTGCAATTAAAATGATTTTGTTTATCAGCAAAGCCAGAACGCATTGAAAGAAATAGAGGCTTACATCACGCGTTAACGCATGGTAGAATAAACACTCCTTATAATCGACGCAAAGTTGTTTTTTAACCAGATAAGAAATGCAATATCTAGATATAGAGCAAAAGTCAAATTTGTTCGGTCAACAAAAACAATTTATGGTGTATCTTCAGTCATACTATTTGGATACATAAATCAGAAGGAAAGATATAATTTTCATTTAAAAGGCGCGTTATATCAAGTGAGTCTATAAACTTGATATGTGACTTAAAAAAAACTTCCTTTTATTTATATTTTATTTTGAAGACGAATAAATAACTTGCCCATCCCTTCTCACTAGACCCAATGTTTCTATTGACTCCTTTCTCGGCCAAGGAACGCGTTCATCAGACGCCTGTAGAAATCTATAATAGTAAGTCATACAGATAGTAGTACAAACAGGATGCTGCCATTTTGGGAGGGAGGAAAGAAGATGGTCGCGGAGCGAGCGATGGGCTAAGTGTCAAATCTAACAAAATGCGATGTGATGTGACAGTGTAACAGCATGGAAATTATTCATTTTCGGAATTACTACATATGGAATAATCTGAGGTTTGAATAAGCCTATACATCGCGGATCGCTCATTTCGTGTTGTTTACACCAAAAATGGCATGAATAATGGAATCGGTGCCAGGCATGGCGATGCAGCCTCAAAGTCGGGCAGTGCATTGAGTCATTAATGATAATAAGATCATTGGACTTGTCAATTTCGATATGATCACATCATATTTGCTTTGAAAATCTCTCTGAAGTACATTCACAGCAATATAATGTCAGTTTAAAGATGATACAAAGCATTCTGAAGCGATGATGATCCCAGACAAAACTGGAGAATGACAGGAAGTTGGGTAATGAATTCCAAAATTCTTCCTTTTTGACGAGACCATAACTTTAACTCAAAAACCATGTTCAGCCAAGGCTCAAGTCGGCCTTCGAGCAAGCAAAGCAAGTTTGACCAAGCTCTGAATCTCAGCATGGGTCGACCGAGTGGAGGTCAGCGCGACCTAAATATGGACAAAAGTCCTGGCAACATTGGGCAAAGGAGTGCATCTCTCGGGCGTGTCCGGGGCAGGACATCCTCCGAGGGTTCGGGATCAGGGGCACTGGGATACCAGCCGGGATCAAGCCGAACCAGCCCCCTCAGTCTTCCCATGGATAACTACAGTTCCCTCTATGGATCAACCAACCAGGGATACATCATTGAAAATCTTGGCATCGCTGGGATGTCCCTGTCAGGCAAAAGTCCCATGGAGCCAAGCAGTCCAGGTTCATCTATGCATAGCAGCAGGACTAATAGTTTAACTAACGTGAGGGACAGATCACTAGATCGTCTGGACAGAGAACACATTTTGATGGGTGAACGTTCTTTAGATAGGCACATTGACCGCATGCAACTGTCAACCCCTAACATGTCATTTAAGGAAAGTTCATTGGAAAGGGAAAAGCGAACATATAATCGTGATCGATCGCTGGATCGTGATCGAGAGTACCCTCATATGGGAGCACGATCTTTGGAACGTAGTGAGCATTCTATGGGAAGATCTCGATCCAATGAAAGAAATGGGGACTATATTCCCCCAATGGGTCCATACTTATCCCCAAGCCCAACATCACAATCAGAATATAGAAACTCCCTCATTTTTGAACTCCAAGTGCAGGTTTCAGAATACCACAAAGAGTGTGCCAAATTACAGAAAGAACTGGAAACTGCCAAGGAGAAATTAGGCTCTAGTATGAACAGCATTAAGACTTTTTGGAGCCCAGAGCTTAAGAAGTTACGAGCCTTGAAGAAAGAAGAAACTGCTAAATGCAACCTTTTGAACGAACAGTTAAAAGTAGCTCAAGCTGAATTAAAGGTAAGAAGGAAAGAAAATTGTATGATTTTCAAGAATTTGTATTCTGCATAATTTGCTATCCATTCATGTTGAGGGAATGCCACAGATGAATCTCTTCATGCTTTTGGAGATGAATAAATACAGATGATATCTGGCTGCATGAAGAATCTTATAGCTGTTTCATCTATGTTGGGGTCCTGGGGCCAAGGTGCCGGATGAAGTTATTTTAGTTTGTGTCTTCTGTTGATGACCATCATCAACTATCCGATGTTCATTTCTCCCTTTGTACTTCCTAACTGAGCAGAAATGTAGATACATAATTATATGTTCATTGTCTGTCAAGCCTAGACTTACATCTAGTCTCTAAAATGAAACTATTTTACAGAAAAAACAGTTGCTTTAAGTGGCCTTTACAAGTTGTATGATGAACAAAGGAGATGTTCCTATGGATATGCACCTTCTTTATTACAATGAATGCAACGTTTTGGTGTAGATACTAACACTGTTATCAAGCCTGGTATATCACTATCTCCCGTCAGAAATTATAACAGTTGTTAAATTATCGTAATAAAATATAATAAGGGAGCCCGAGACTCTTCATTTTCAGAAGTAATCTAGACTTGCCAACTATAATAGACTTGCATGGGCTGTATTGGCTATAAAGTAAACTGCTGTTATAACGAACTCAGAGGGACCACTAATTTTAGTTTGTTATTAACATAATTCGTTATAAGCATATATATATAATGTGTATACAGTATAAATACAGCAAATGGCCGGGAATAATAAAAACAGTTTGTTATATTCGCCTGTTCGTTATACATGTTATAAGCGTGTTTGTTATAAATGTAGTTTACTGTACTTGTGTCAGGGTCTGTTGACAGAAAATGTCAAGCCTGGTCCTTCTTTAAGATGTGTTCCTTTGTTGTATTGTATGGCTTTCCTGTCAGGTTCATATATAGGGAGCAGGCAGGTTGCCGCAACACATTCTGATACTGCAATTCAATGGGAGATGGCAGTGATTGAGGATAATTGAGTCGCTGACTTTTGACGATGCAGATTACAGTGTTTGACATTTCGCATTTGGGTTAAATTTGTATGCCAGCAAAATGAGTGATCCTAAATACATTGGTTTTGAAAGTTTTGTGAGATGCAGGCAGCTTTGGCTAAATTGTCAGCTTGTGAACCTGCAGTGTGTGAATCTGTGATGTGAAAACAGTTCTAATGATGTACCTAAGCCCTGACACGATAACCCTCGTGGGGATTCAAGGAAAGGAGGGCGGTGGGGTAGCCTAGTGGTTGAAGTGTTCGATCGGCCTGGGTTCGATTCCCCACATGGGTACAATGTGTAAAGCCCATTTCTGGTGTCCCCTGCCGTGATATTGCTAGAATATTGCTAAAAGCGGTGTAAAACCTCACTCACTCACTCACTCCGGGGAAGGATGGGCCCTATGCTTGTTGCAAGGGACTGTCCATTTGGTATTCTTGGTGGAAGGTGATGGGGTGTGTTTGGCTGCAACTAATCTGCAAATTCCACATACACAGCAAAATATTAAAATGGTAGGTCTGACAGAAGCAACTATCACCATGGGACTGCCTCTGAGGTGTAGTGGATAGAGAGTGTCTGCCTGGAGCACACGCATGGTTCAGTCCCCAGCTGTGTTGTGGCAAAAGACATGAAAAGATGGTACTTGTTGTTATCCTGCCTGGTGCTCGGCATCAACGGGATAAAACAAGGACTGGTTGGCTCAGTCAGCATGAGTGGGGTATTTATGTTAAGCTGAGGCATGGTACTGCAGATAATGAACACTGTAAAACCAGCAGTAGTCCAGGCTAAGTACAAGCAGATAAACACCGATGTGCAGGCTCTTTACCGTATAAGTGCAGTAATCTTGAATGCAATGTGAAACCCCATTTGACCCCATCTATGAGCACTGGGTTGTGAGGGTCCATGACTTGGCTGATCGAGGGTCATTTTTTAAGACTGAACGTGCCAAGTGACATTTTATGCACAGGTGTTTGCTGCCCTCAGTGCCATGTTGCATGTTTCTCGGTCAATACTCCACTCCTGAAATGTCAGGTCAAACTAAGAGTTCAGAACAGTTGTATGTACCCGTCATAGGCAACAATCTAAGAAATAGCGTCAAAACATTTACTATGAGACTTATGAAATATTTCAAAATTGTACTCATTTGTGTTGACAGTTTAATCTGGCTTAGCTTTAATACAGCATTCCCGGGATTTGTCTAGACCTGTGGCTTTCCCAAAGGGAAGTCTGCAGCAAATGTCAGTGGAAATTCGCAAATTGGTATGAAAGCATTTCATGTGAATATGGTTATACCTAATCATGCTGATTTTATGGCTTTGAAGAAATAACCTGCATTTCAGCACTAACAGGACCAAACCATGACCTGAATTTAAGAAAAATCCCAATATTGAACATGATGTTATATTTTTCATAATTTGCCTGTCAAGATGGCCAAGGGCACTTAGTTTTGAACCTTTACAAATCCTTGCAGTCACTACTATTACCTGTAATAGTCATTTCCAGCAAGAATTTCACCCTTGGGCATGTTTGACAATAGTTTTGTTCTCAAAACAACAGCAACTTGTGCATGATAAGCCTGTTATTTATCAACTAGACAAAACAAATTTGGACCAAAGTCAGGTTTTGGACAAGTGGATAAACTTTGGGACCATAATGTCTGTCAATCATCATGCTAAGGCCACACATTATTTTTCATTTCAGGGACCCACTGCCCCTATTGAAAAGCAGCTTGAAAAGTTATAAATTAAACACAAAAAGATTTATTTACATTGTGTCTCCCACTAGTATTATAGACCCTCTTATACAATATAAAATGTTATATATAAATTCCATGTCTACATCACTATCAGTGATTCTAGAAGCCAGCTGCAGGTTTAACTCCACAGCAGAATGACTTTCTTATAAATAAATGATTGATGAAGCCATTTATTTTTATTTTGACCGACATTGTGTGGAAAAGCTGGAATAAATCCATATTGTGTAAAACTAAAAAAGTATGGCCTAACATACTTGTACCTTGTTTCAACCCTGTAGGGCGTGAGTGACCCGATCATCTAAGGTGCTGCAATTCACTGTGGGGAGAGTTAAGTCCCTTAGGCATGCCAGAGTCCTTTGATCATGTGTTCGAATCCTGGTTCACTCTGATTATGTTTCAAGGTTTGCCAGCACCATATCCATTCTTGTGAGGTTCATCAACGTGGTTAATGTCTTGCATCACCTGAGCTGTCCACAACACTTGAACAAGAAGCTGACTTGTCAGGATATAACTGCAGTACTGTTCAATGTGACATTAAGCCAACATCACTCACTCGCTCACTGTTTCAACCTTGTATGCAGTGTCTAAAGGTTTCTTACTACATGTATCTAAGCAAAATTCAGGCTTACTAATGAGTCTGATATATGTCCACCTAATTTACTTCATGATGTAAAAGCAGTGTTTGAAATTATGAGGGTCCTAGAGGTGAGATAACTTGAAAACTGTACAAAAAGGCGTGAAACCTCACTCGCTCGTTTGCCGGATCCCGTCCGCTCACTCACTCACTCACTTACTCACAGGTTCCTGTGGTCCGTAAGACATCCCCTAAATCTGTAATACACATACCGTATTCGACGTAATAAGCGCCCAGAGCGCTCTCAAAATTAGAAATAGGCGGCTCTTATTAAAATATTATTTTGGTGAAAAAAAGTTGAAAGATAAATTTCGTGTTCATGTACGACAGATATATTTTTCCAGAATTTAATTGCCCATAATTAAGGTTGCATACATTTCTGGTGTCCCCCGCCGTGATATTGCTGGAATATTGCTAAAAGCGTCGTAAAACCACACTCACTCACTCACTCACTCACTCACTATGGTTGCATATTTATAACACACGAGTGCGTATCATACGCGAATAAATAAGTCTTGTGAACATTGATCGATCGGAAGGGGTGCTAATTGGGATTGTTCACTAGCCAATATATTCGCAAATATCGCTGTGGGTGCTTATTAGAGCGGGGCGCTTATTACGTCGAATACGAATTGCTTCAAATACGATACAAAAAGAAACTGTGTCATTTCACCACCACTAGGTATGTTTACTTCATATGGCTGTATACCCTTCACTGTGTTACTGCATCATCAAAAGTGTATTGGGGCTTCAAAGAGTCCAGCATCACCGTCATTGTCAACTGGGCAGACACACAGCCGGCTGATCTACTTAACAGCATGCGGGATGTGTTTAGTCTGTCAACCAAGAAATCCAGATTAAAGAGCTTCACTTACACAGTCACTTGGCCATTTGTCCCACAAATTAAGTAGGGCTTGCAGAGCTTAAGATTGGTCTGTACTTTAGGCCACTGATATCATGGATATAGAATTTTAAAATTGTCCAAAGAATGTTTTCTTAATTTCTAATTAATGTTAAAGAAGATAGTATTGATCATGTTGAAATTATATCCAATTATTGAAATGTCTATATCACAGTCTCTGCCAAGACCTTTTGAGCCTACTAGCAAGTACTTGGCCCTTAGCAATATTTTCAATTGATTTTACTGTCATCATTGTTATATGGCATCGGGAATTTATCATGGCCTACCCCGAGGCTGATATTCGGATATGTCAGTAAAAATTCCCAAATTGGAATTATGATTTCCATTTTATGTTATTTAGTTAGAACCAATGTCATAGCTTTGTAGGGGCGCCTTGTATTTCCCTGATAACGGAACCAATAAACAGGAAAAGGCTTTTATGCTTCCTTTCACATTATTGCAATGTTCAAAGACCTGAATTTAGGGAAAAAGTAACTTTGAAAAATCCCATTTTTGAACAAAATTTGGATTTTTTTCGCCATATTGTCCTGCCAAGGGCACGAAGTTGAGAACCTTAGATAAATCCTTTGGCATGTTTTAGCTGACTTTGCAAGACAAAACAGAATTTTACAAGACTGATATCATGTATATATATATGCCGTTTGTCTCTTGAAAAATCTCT